TCCCATTTGACTTTACTAGCAGCTCTCTATATTTTAGGTCAATGGTGCACCACGGATTCCTATGTGGTCTAATATTTTCCATGAGTTGATATTATTAGTAAGTAGTTTCTGAGGATTTATATAAGTGTCTAAATTTGACACTCATCAAAACATCTCTCTACTACCCTTGCTGTAGATAATTTTTTATTAAAATTTGATTTGTTATCATTTAAATTTGTTTTATATGGTTTCATTATAAAATCCATTAAAGGATAAACATCATCCCCCACAAATACATATTATGATAATTTATCTGTTGAACTTGAAGGTTAAAAATTTAGATTGGGTATCTTGATGATTTTATTGATCATTCCTTCATAAAATAGGCTCTTTGTAAAGATGCTTCTATCTGAGATAGACCCAGGAAAACCAACCTCAATTAACATGAATCTAGAAGAATTAAAATTTAGAAAATATATAATTACATAGCTTTGTCATCTGAAACACCTTGAATCACAATGGAATTAAATTTTTTATAATTAAAAAATGTGGATCCACTATTTGTAGTTTGTTTTATTTTTAAAAGCTTTCCATCAATAGCATTTCTTATGTGACGAAAACCTGATTTCCTGAAGTAATCTGCTGATATTTCAAGCATCTGTTCAACTGTTGATAAATAAACGGCTATTGTTACTTGCAACTATTGTTGCATTTAAAAAATTATAAAAAAAGTAAAATTTTCATTTTTTAAAGAACGCATGTTGTTTTTTTTTACCATTAACAATATTTATTTATTTCAAAATAATTTTTTTTTTATTTATAAATAAATATATTTTTTTTCATAAATAAAAATTATTTTATTAAAAATGGAAATTGTGAAATAGATACTATTGCAGGTAAAAAATATATTTTTTTAAGCCAAATATTTATTTATGGTATTAAATTATAAAAAAAGTAAAATTTTTATTTTTTAAAGAACGCATGTTGTTTTTTTACCATTAACAATATTTATTTATTTCGTAATAATTTTTTTTTTATTTCGAATAATAGATAACAGCAGAAGAATTCCATGAAAATGACCAAAAAAACAACTCAAAACTTATCTTAATTCTTTTTATACTATAGGCATTACAATAAACTGGTTAAATTGAGACTCTTCATAAGCAAATATTTTTATTAAGCTATAAATATGTTTTTTTCCTAATTTCATGTTTAATCTAATTTTCACAATATATATGTCTACACTAAAAATAGATAATAGCAGAAGAATTCCATGAAAATGACCAAATAAACAACTCAAAACTTAGATAAATAGATTATAGCTTAATTCTTTTTATACTATAGGCATTACAATAAACTGGATAAATTGAGACTCTTCATAAGCAAATATTTTTATTAAGCTATAAATTATAAATATGTTTTTTTTCTAATTAATTAAATTTTTCATGTTTAATCTAATTTTCACAATATATATATTTAGTCTACACTAAAAATAGATAACAGCAGAATAATTCCATGAAAATGACCAAAAAAACAAAATAGATTATATCTTAATTCTTTTTATACTATAGGCATTACAATAAACAGGATAAATTGAGACTCTTCATAAGCAAATATTTTTATTAAGCTATAAATTATAAATATGTTTTTTTCCTAATTAATTAAATTTTTCATGTTTAATCTAATTTTCACAATATATATTTAGTCTACACTAAAAATAGATAATAGCAGAAGAATTCCATGATGACCAAAAAAACAACTCAAAACTTAGATAAATAGATTATATCTTAATTCTTTTTATACTATAAGCATTACAATAAACTAGATAAATTGAGACTCTTTTTAAGCAAATATTTATTTCTTTTTCATAACATTTGTATTTTAAATATGATTACACTATTTAAATATATTATTATAATAAAAATAGATACAATTATAATAATTTTGAATGCAATTTGTGAAATGACAAGGTTTTAGGTAATTGTAATTGATCCTGTATGGGTAGTTCTATATTCTCTTTGGATAATTGTAGATTCTTTGGGTAGTTCTAGATTCTCTTTGGATAATTGTAGATTTTCTTGATTCGTGATATCCTGCATTATAGAAAGATCGATTTCATTATCTATTTCTTTATTTAAAGCTTTTTTTTTGTTAAAAATAGTGTACTGCATTTTTTTTCTATTTATTTTTTCAGGCATTTTTAAATTTTTAACTAATTCTAAGAAATTAGAAGATGACGGTAAACTATAACGTCATTTTTTTCACTGGAGTATTGAAGGGTTAATAAAAATTAAAACCTTTTGATTTGGATGGTCTGACCTTGCCCTCATAACATTGGTAATAAATTCGTTCGTACATTATTGTAGACTTAAGTATTAGGTCCTTCGATTTTTTAGAACGGTGTATTGAATAATTTGTCGCATTAGAAATTTCGTATTTATTTAGCCATTCTTTTAAAATGAAGAATGACGAATATCTAACATTTACTACAAAAGGTATGTAATAATAAATAATATTTTTTACCTGCAATAGTATCTATTTCACAATTTCCATTTTTAATAAAATAATTTTTATTTATGAAAAAAAATATATTTATTTATAAATAAAAAACAAATTATTTTGAAATAAATAAATATTGTTAATGGTAAAAAAAAACAACATGCGTTCTTTAAAAAATGAAAATTTTACTTTTTTTATAGTTTAATACCATAAATAAATATTTGGCTTAAAAAAATATATTTTTTACCTGCAATAGTATCTATTTCACAATTTCTATTTTTAATAAAATAATTTTTATTTATGAAAAAAAAAATATTTATTTATAAATAAAAAAAAAATTATTTTGAAATAAATAAATATTGTTAATGGTAAAAAAAAACAACATGCGTTCTTTAAAAAATGAAAATTTTACTTTTTTTATAATTTTTTAAATGCAACAATAGTTGCAAGTAACAATAGCCTTGATAAACAGAGATGCTATGGTTAAAGAGCTACCCATATTAACCTACATGTTGATGTGACAATAGTGCTTACTGATGTTTTGCAAACTTTGCATGTAATGCTATTTTTCTAAAGCTCATACTAGTTGTCAAATATCTATAAATACATTCTGATTATTCATATAAAAAATAATCATCATACATGATTGTTATATAGAGCCGATGCTTCATACTGATATAGTTTTTATGTTTAACTATAGTGGTGTCTAGACTCCAAATTTATAAAAATGTAATTGAATGTTTCCACATGTGGAACATCTGACGAAATTTGCCAGGATAAGAAGGAATACTATCAAATATTTAAAAAAGTCCTTGATCTCTAGAATTAATATATATAATATAAATAATATCATATATACCGGCCTTCTAAAAATCTGTGCCTTTTTCTACGTTTAATCTTATCTTCAAATAAAATATAGAATTAGTAAATCATTCACATCAAACATTTTATATATTTTAATTGTAGGATTCGGGACATATTTTAGGTCGCTCTTGCACCACAGATATCTATGTAATTTAATATTTTCCATGAGTTGATATTCATTCGTACGCAAATTACATAAATTAATGATAAAAAAGATTAAACTTTTTAAGAATCGTAAAAGTTTTAATAATTATGTAATTTACGCGAAAAAATCATTTAGGCCAACATTTTAATTTTCTATTAAATATGGCTTATATATTTTTTCCGCTAGATTCGCACAAATTGCGCGATTCATTTTTTTGATATTTAGGACATAGCCTTATATAATAATAAATTTCAAAAAATAATAATTTATAATGCAAATTAAACCATCACCAAAAAACATTTGATTTTTCTATTTAAATTAATACATCTGACCGATTTATAAGTACCTGGAGGGGTTCGTATTATCAATCCCAATAAACCTAATATTCTCTCACAAACATCGGATCATTTATTAAGTAGTTCTTGGCAAAATGAATTACGTGTTTGTCACATTCCCAGCATCTTATGCGTGTTTGTCATGGGTATTGTTTTCCTAAATCTCTTTCTTTCGCTCTTATCCATGCCAAAGAATATTGGACGAATTACTAGCATGAGAGCACCAATTAATAAAATGAAATTATTTTTAGGCGCTTATAATTATTATTATCATTTATACGGATTTTTGCTGAGAACAAACGATCAGAATGCAAAAGGATGTTAGAACTTTTGTGAATAATGATATGAACCAACCTCCGGTTAATTAGGAATTAGTTCTCATCAAGGGTAAGGGTGTTACAGAGTATTAATTTAAATGAGGAAATCTAATTTTTTGGCAATTTAGTTAGCTTTGTAATTAATTTATTTATGGAATTTATTATAAATTTTCATAGTAATTATCAGAGACCTGCAGATCTGGACTAAACCACGACGCAGGCCATAAATATTTTTCAAAATGTCGACCAGGTTTTTTTTAATAGAGGTGTCCGAAATTATAAAACTCGGGCTCGGCCAATTTAAATCGGAACTATTTTATATAAAATAATAAAAATAGGTCAACAGAGAATAATATATCAATTCATTTACATCTCATATTTCCATTTCAAAACCATCTATATCTATTGTTGGAAATTACTTTATTAGTTTATAAAAGAAAAGTTAAATAATATATTCACTAATTATAATTATTTTGAGTCAAATCTTACAAAATCAAATAAACCTTATACAGTAAGGTATACGTAACTATAGTTTATAAAAGATATTAACTTTATTATAGTAAGATAATCTTTCAAAATAAACCAGCCCGGCTTGATGAAAAATTTTATTTTCACTATCCCAACTTAGTTTTATTTAATAAATATATATTTACTGCCCGGGCCAGGCATTGATCCAGGACTGCAGGTTTCTGCTAAAAAATTTATCCAGACTTCTTAACTGGTTCCGGTTCTGTATATTTTGAAAATTTTCGGTTCCTATATTTGACCCTTTTCTTTCTCCTATTATTTTAAAAAGATGATTATATATTTTTATATGTAAATATTGCAATCTAAAAAAAATACTTCAACACGTTATTTAAGGCCACGAGCTATCATTTATTATGTTCATGTATTGTCTATTCAAGATAAATGCCCTCTTACCGGTTGACATGGAAGCCGCCGTTCTTGATATATTTAACAAGTACTTTCTTAATAAAAATCTATAAATTTTTTATTATTTTTAAAATTATGGATTAGACTACGAATAATCACATTTTTATATACCGTTTCTGGCCTAAAAAATATGCTCCATTCCAGATTTCGAAGCATTACATCGAATTCATACATACATTCTCTAAAAAAAATTATCATTTATATTTGCGCGATTGCTTTATAAATTTGAGGGTCATAAAACACCTCCCAACTAGTGCTGTAGTCTTAAAATTTGCAGCGGGGGCACGCTATTACAATAAAAAATAATCGGGTGGCTGGCTGAAATGGGCAAAAAATAAAGGCTAATTTTTATTTTTCTAGAAATTTGAAGGCGACATTTTTATTTTTATATAATAGTTTTATATTGAAGATTTTCACATAGAATACATTAAATTATATAAAACAGCTATTTAAAAAATTATATAAAATAGCTATTTAAAAAGTTATACAAAATTTGAATTTAAAAAACTGCAATATTCTCCATAGCATATCTTTTTTAATATTTTTGATAATATTAACCACATATTTCCTCTAACTGGTTATAGTTTGTAGACCTATCAGCCACTTTAATATATGGGGATAAATGCCACTGATTAAGAGGAGGCCAGTTAACGTCTATCTTTAAACTGGAAATATATTTAATCATAAGGCTTACACGCAAATCCCTATAATGGCATTCATAAGGTGAAACAAGCCACACATAGAAATATTATTCTGAATTTTGTTAAATGTTAATACAATTTTGAAACTCTTTCAAATCGCGGGGGAATTTATTTCATTTATCAACAATATATCCCTCGTTCCATTTATTAAATGTCGTTTTATTTGCTCTTCCTATAAAGAATGCGAGTGCATCTGCTTGCCAGTTATGATTTTTTAAACATATCAAATTAGATTACTAAAAAGATAAAACTAGTATAGTAATTTTAATTAGTAGAATTGGAATTAGCATCCATCATATTGTCTATTAAGTCAGTATTGAATTGATTTTTGTTGATATTAGAGTGCCATCTGTTTTCCTTCAATATTACGAATCCAAATTTTTTATTTCCTTAACTTCTTAAGCTATTTTAATATATCCTCCTTTAGAAATATTAAATAAACATTTTGAGGAATTATAAAAGTGATTTAAAACCTACCAGATATATCCTTAAACGATCTTAGAATACGAATCGTTCGCTTTATTGATTTTTCTGTTTAAGGTATTGGACTTGTCTGAACTGAAGCCTTAAAGATAAATTGGATAATTCAAATAGAACATCGTACATCAAAGCGAGATCTGATGAGAATTCACAACCTTCTAATCGGGTGGACAGCCTATTAAATTTTGCATGGTTGCTAGAATTTTCTGAATTTTTGAAATGCGTATACAGGACCTTATATTTATTCCAAACTGCCTTAACAGTAGACTGCTAGACACCTATCCTACATCAAGTACCCTTCCCAACAATTAAATGCCCAATTCAGACGCTATTTGTTTCAACACCTATTGATTTTTGTTAAACTGGCTATATAAATTATATATTGTGCCAATAAAGGCTTCACAGTGATTAACGGCTATAGCATTCTTTATTGCATCGGACACCACAAATTCTTTATAGTGTTGGATATTCTTTTTTAAGAACCAATAGAATATGGAATAGTTTTTGAATTAAAAATAAACAATTTCATTAATATACTACCATTTTGTTTTATAAATTTTATAATTTTTATTTAATTATATAAAATTTAAATTTTTTGGAAGGAACACACCATGCCCCCAACATTTTTTTTGAAAATTCTGGTAGGGGCACTCTAAAATTTTTTAAATAGCCCCTCCCCCCCACCCCGATTACAGCACTGCTCTCAACTAGTATTATTAAATCACCCACTTTGTAAAATTCCAAAAGGGTTTACCCACTTTTTTATCCTAAAAGATTCGTCCCAGTTAATTTATGTTGAGACTCAACTTGGTGATGTGTCAATTTTTTTAAAATAAAATCTTGGCTAAGCCATATTAAAATTTGTCAAAGTTAGGTGATTTAACATTACTATGCTAACATTTATTTGGTAACAAAATTATCCATAATATAAATTTTATAACAAATCAGTTAAAATTATTTCAATTTTGATAAATGTTATTAACTAATACATATAGTTATTAATACTAAATAGCAGAGTTGTTAAGATATCCTTTACAAATGTATCTAAGTATAGATACAATTTTATGCATGATGCATTTTTATTCTTATTATATGAGGTGTATATAATACCTAATTTAGAATTCTATTGTGCTAAAAATTGAATTGATATCTCATTTACATACAAAATATATAATTAAATGATAAATAATAATCGTTAAATTTTAACAATACATTATAATAAAATTTATAATTAATAATTTTTAGATTTTATAATAAAACATTCTCAAAATTTTTGTCATTAAGACACCTCTTGTTTATTTGTAAACATTAGTTATACTAAAAAGTCTTTCTACCTGGGCACTTGATGGCACAATAGTTGAGATAATTATTAAGTATAATTAAAATCAGACACTCATTTTTAAAAGATGAGTGTCAAAACTATATCATCTAAGGGGTGCCAAAAAATCTGATATTAAATTATTTGATTTTTTAGAGATTGTATTGATCTAAAAATTATGATTTTTTTTAAAATTAATATGTATAGTTAATTTTAATAAAATTTGCCATATTATCATCACCCACTGCATAAAATAAAATATGTCTAGTTTTGTTTTTGTAAATAAACTCGAGATGATATTTAATGAATTTTATTTAAATATAAAACGTAAAATAAAATTATATTAAAATGTATCTGATGATTAATACAGATACCATACTTTTTTAAAATAATAGTCTATATAGATATCGATACTTTTTATAAAAGTGTATGTACACAGGTACCATATTTTTGTATATAGATATCTTAACAACTCTACTAAATAGGTAATAACAAAAGATCTGCAAATCCTTCCTAGCTTAAAAATAATTTTGATTCGGACCTAATATTTTTTAAAAAAATTCGGGCCAAATCACCCTTAAATTTTTAAATATGATATTAAATTTTGTGAAATAAATTGATATATTTTAAAATTCTTGTGAGAAATAAAATAATTTTTTTTTACAATACAATTAAAAAAATATTAAGTTTTTTTATATTTAAATAAATTTGTATCGGGTCGGGTGGACAAATTTTATTTCGGGCCTGGCTCTTCGGGACAAGTAAAAAAACTCTTTAGAGATTAATCCTGGCCTTACAGATTCTATAAAAACAATTTCGGGCCGGGCTTGAAAAATTAGACTTGTTGCTGCAGATCACTACCATGAATTATATTTATAATTATATAATAAATGAAAATTAACTGAAAAAAGTTTTAGAATAACCATTCTCGTTCCATAATTTTCTCAAAGTTCCTTTCCATATTCTTGATTGAAATAATTATTAAAATTGCATTATATCGATAGTTATAAATTAAAATTATATTGATATTTTATTTATTTTAAAAGGTACTTAATCATTGTTCGAAAATTGCAAACAGTTTACAAAATGGAACCTGCCGGAAGTCACGGGGTCTGGAGTTTGGATGATTACCAATTTATGCCATTTTACTGGGGGAGTTCTCAACTTATTGGTTTAGCCATGTTTATATTATTAATATAATGCTATGAACTAAATTTTATCATACATCAAAATACCACAGGAAATTGTTTTATATTTTTATTATTTTACTTATGTCGAATCATAAAATACGAACCTTTATATCTATAGATAATGAAAAGATTCCACCTTCTTCTTTTCCGGAATCTGATATAGCCCATCGTTATGCCAAGGATTACATGTTTTTATCATCAATAGACTTTATCATTCAAGTTTAATAACTAAATCTATATATTTAAACGTGACATGATTAGTTTCCTAATATTTCGTACAAGTCAACCTAAAATTTTTAATAAAATGTATATACAAAAAAATTTCTAGAAATTGTATTTTATTACTGGATTGTATTGAGTTGTCAGTCAGGACCAAGCTTACTGGCTTGATTATTTTGCCATTTTTACAGTTAAAATCAGAGTTTTAAAAACTAATTAATTTTTTTTTAATTTAAATGTCAAACCTTATTCATGACAAAAATTTATCATTGATTTATTTAATTTTTGATATAGTTTAAAAAGGGACCCTTCTCAGAGCATTCAAATAAATTATGGAATATAAGTGGAGTGCAAGATTGGAGAAAAATTAATTCGGGATTGCTGAAAATGTACAAAGCTGAGGTATTGAACAAATTTCCAGTCGCACAACATATTTTATTTGGAACTATTTTATCTATTGCTCCTGCTTAATTCCCGGGAATAATTAATAATTATAATATCACAATCAATTATATCAAATCATTCGTGAATTAATTTTAATTAATATCGTAAATATGTCAATGTTAAAGGTGAAAATAGATTTATATTGTGTAATATAAATAAATAGTTAATTTATTAATTTTATAGTATAATTCTCTCATGAAGCAATAAGCAACGTTAAAGCTATTATATCATATTAACTGATTTTTTTTGATAATGTTAGTAATAAAATAAGAATCTTTATTTTGAAAACTATAGATACTTTAAGATATTTACCATAATAGCGATGGTTTTTCCTCCCTTTAAAGTTTAAAACATGCTTGATGATATCTTTTAAAATTTGTAAAACAAGTAATTTAATTTATAAAAATGAAAAATAAAATACACTTTTTAGGAAATTTATTGGTAACAAAGATGACATAATGAAGTTTGCTCCATAATATAAATAAATCTAAATTTATTCATGATCAATAAAATATTGATTATTTAATGGCTGACCATCTTACTTTTTTAAAATATATTTCATTAATATTTTAATAAAAGTCAAATTTATCTTATTTTTTTTAAACTCCATTGGATTTCGGCCAGGGTCGGCCCGCGGCCTGGTGTAATTTTTTTTATAGATCAAGGCTCATAGTCTATTACGGCCCTCTGTCCAAATGTCTAAAAAGGTTTATAGGGAAGAAATAGCAAAATATTTATTTTAAAGTTATGTATTAAATTTAAATATATATAACCTTAACAATTTTATGATGTTTATCTATTTTATTCTATTTAAAAATAAGATAATTAGGCCTAATACAAATTATTTGATTGGTGTTTTATGAATACGAATATCATAGCTCAGTTATTCTATTCGAATATGAATAATGAAAAAAAATATTTGACGAATAATAGGCTTATTATTTTTCAATCGAATTATTTGAGATTATTTATACTATTCTAAATTATTTGTAAATATTCTTATTCAAAATTTTTTATAAATACTTTATTTTCTCATTTGTATACACAAGTAAATTTTTAAATATCTTTTCCTACTAAATGAATATTTGATATTCTGTTTTATTTCCTTTGCATATTTTTCAATAGTTAAAACATTAAATTAAATAATCATAATTTAATTAATTTTTTAAAAATTTACATGTATATTGCATATTACACCACTACATGAATGGGAAAAACTCCTCTAATATTATCACCAAAAAAAATTAAAAAGTACAAATTTGATCATATAATTTTAATTCAATATTATTTTTTCATAATGTGATTATTGAACACTATCTTCAAATAAATTTGAGTATATTAAAAGGATTTAGATAATTATTATAATTAGAAGATATAACATAATTCCTAGAATAAATATTTTTATAAACAATTTTGGGTAAGTTTTAACCAAGTTTTGTTTGGATTACGTTATAAAATAATTTAGTTTCGTTTCGCTTGTTATTTTATGTAGATTTTGTACGCTGATGACAATTATTTTCAATAGAGTCTTTAAAGTGTCATTTTAAAACATCACATTTCTATTTTTTAAACTTAAAATATAAATTTCGAATCGAATAATCATTCTATTATTCATGCGAACAATGAATTATTCGATTCGTACAAATACTAGTGAAGGTCACGGTCCGGACTAGACCGATACCCTCGGACCGGACCACGGTCCTTAAGAAAAAGATCGATCCTGACCGTGGTAACACATTTTTTCAACCTAATTTAATTTGTTTTATCATTTTATTAAATATAAGACTATTATATAAACAATAAAATTTATCCAATGGTATTGAAGAAAGTCATTTTGTGCTTGTGGAGGGCATATTAAAATTAAGAGTAGATTGTGTTTTTGAGATATTTTCATTTTCATCATTAGTATATATTTTATGTTTTATCAGATGTCTGCTTAAGGTACCTAATTATTTTATTATGAATAAGGTTAAGTTATTTTGACAATGAATTATTCAGACAGTTTCTTAAGAAAAAATAGAACTATATAAATAATAACTAAAATATTTTAATAATACTGCTTATTTTAATTAATTTATTGCTTAAAAAATTATAAACAATTTATTACTTGTTGCTGACGATACATTAAATTTGGTACTGCAGTGAACACATACTCTATGTTTTTTATTGGGACTATAAGTAAAATGTTTCTTGGACAAACTTATGGTTTTCATATTGTAAATAAAAATTAACAAAATCTAAAATAACTCATCTAGAAAAATATAAAATATACAAAAAAATTATATTAATTGAATAGTAAAGCAAACTTAAATAGGTCTGGACCATAAAAAATAAAAAGACCGGTCCAAACCACGGTCCTCAAAAAAGATTGTCCCGGTCTAAGACCGATAGGACTAGACCGTTGACCTTCACTAACAAATACTAATTGCACAATTATTGAATTCTTTTTTTTATAGGCCTAGTTCGGAACGCAAGTTAGATATATATTATCACATTACTGTAAATTTAATCTGAAGCAAAATTTTGAAAGCAATCTAGAGCCATAAATCAAATGCTTTTTTATGTGTGAAGTCCTGCAACTGGACTACATATTTGTTTTTTAAATAGTTTTTACAAAAAGTAAAATAAAAAAAAATACATATATTGGATCAAAAAATAAATTTGTTTTGTATATAAATGTCTAATAAAATAATAGTTATAATTAGTGTTGTTAAACGTCTCTTTTTGAGCCGATTTTTAAAAACGACACTCAATATTTTAGCCAGAAAAATATTGCCTAAGACATGAGATTTCGCCAATAAATGTTAAAACCTTTATTCCTTCTACAAGCAAAATCTTCAGGCTTTCGTAATATTATTCTGGATGAAATATTGAGTCAGCTGTTTTTAAAAAACCGCTCAAAACGCCGTTTAACAACATTAGTTATATATAATAATTTGATCATAGGGGAAAAAACCCGCTCTAGGTCAGGCCAGGCCAATTATTACTTGATAAATTAAATCGAAAATTACCATTCGATACGATAACGGATACAATATTACGATGCTCTAACAACACTGAGAATCTCCAAGAAACACATACTCATAAAAATAAAAAAATTATTTTTAATTCATTTTAATATATGCTTATTTGTTTTTTAATATATATTTTTAATTATAATTTGTAAAAGAAAATTTTGTAAAAGAAAAATTTGTTTTTAAAGTTATTATTTAAAGTATTATATATTTTTAAAGTTATTATTTAGTTGTTTTTTATTTAATTTTAAGAAGATAATAGTAGAAAATATAAAGAACATCGTTTTACCTAATTAATTAATAGAATCTAATACCAAAAGTTATATTTATATTTTTGATATCAACATATTTATTATTATAATTTCATTTGGGTTTTAGAAAAATGCTATAAATTTATTAAAGTAAAACGAAGAAGTATATCGCTACATTTTAGTGGATAATAATTGAAATGCAACCTCGCCTTTTAATTTTTTTAAAATTTCTTTTTTTGCAAAATTTGTTCATCATGTTTATCAATTATAACAATTTTTTATAATGCCATCTTTTCACACCAAAACTATAGAAAATATTTTAGGGCCTGTTGCTGATCAGGTTAGTTTAATTTTTATAAATATCCATATCTACAAAATTTCGTATATTTTATTTTGTTAATTTCATTATACAATCCATATAGACTAGAGATTCACGATCCACCTGACTCTTTAATTTTTTAGAATGTCTTATTTTATGCATTTTACTGACCTTATTAATTGCCTTTTCTATCTTAATTTATAATAGTAAAATTTAATTGTGAATTTATTGTAAAATCTTAATATAACCATAAATATCTACAAACAATATCAATATAAATATAAACATAATATATTTAAAATGGTATATCAAGAATTTATTTAAATAGTATATGCTTACAACATTGAAAGCACTCAAAATGTATTCTAGTAAAGTGTTTATATGTTAATTTGGAAATGCATTGTTGTACTCCAATTACAAGATAGAGGCTTGTGATTTAATCCAATTTTTTATGTTAACTAATAAGTTATATCTTTACCAAAGTTTCCATTGGTAAAAAATTAATTTTTTAATATATCAATTTGGTCTACAAAATGTTTTTCAATATAACAATGAAACTTAATATTTTTTTTTATAACAGTGTTTATTATTATATATTAAGTGATTAATGTCAACGAATTTGCCAATCCTTAATAGAACGTTCCCAATTTGATTTCAAAATATAATTAATAAGTATCTTTATTTCTCAAAACAAAAGTTTTTGGTAAAAAAATAATTTGAGAAACTGTTAAAAATTTGGGAAACTTTTAAATATAAAATTATTTACATAAATTTTTTTTTTTTAATTTTTATCAGCCACTAATAAAAAATTTGATTTCAATAAAATTAAATTAAATATTTCATAAAATTCTTCATTTAAACCTAAATATATTTCATAAAATTCTCTATTTAAGCTTAAATATATTAAAAAAATTTATTAAATATAAAATTGAAATTACATATATTTATATTATCTTCAATTATTTATTACTAATAAATTACCCTCTCAAAAATTATATTTTCCACCTTGATTAAATTTTACATTATATAGTAAGAATATCTAAAAATAGTTGCATCATTTTTTTTTAAACTGGCTTTAAAATTTTTTTTATATGTCATTGAAGGAGTTCAAGGCATAACATAGAATAAATATAATCTTGAATGATTAATTTTAAACCATTTGAGATGTTTGGTAGAGGTTCCTTTCCTTTTAGGAAAAAATTATAATTAAAAAAATCAGAGTTGTTAAGAAGTGGAGCTATAGGAGCGGCTCTCCTGGAACACCCCTCCTTTTAAAACCCAGGAGCGGGAGATAGCTCCTTTTAGATTTGGAGTGAAGGAGCACTGCTCCACTACTCTTTTAAATTTAATATTAAATTATTTTTAAAATATTAATAAATCTATTTATTTGTTAATTAAAATTTAATAAAAATGAAATTTTATTTTATTTAATTATTTGCAATATTAAATGTTAAACTGAGTTTTATATTGGTTTTTCATCTAATCAGTTAAAATATAAGTTCCTTCCAAAAGTGTCAATCTTTATGGAATAAACAAATTATGTCTACTAATATGGCAGATAATATTGTCAAAAAATTGGTTAGGTATCTGATATGCCCAAATTCCTTTAGATGGAATTGATATTATGAATCTATGATTTTGTTAGATAAAATATTAAATTAACAAAAAGACCTTGATGAGTTTTATGTGATAACTATGGGCTTAAACGTTATAACTCTCAAGAACGTAAATTTATTAAAGAGTATATCCAAGTAGACATTAAATCTTATTGAAATAAATAAATGTTAGCTTAACCTTTGGCAAAAGCTTTAAAAATCCTTGAAGGGGAGCTTCATATGGATATAGGTTTTTTAACTCCAAACATTTCTAAACTTACTTCAAAAATAAATGACTTAGCAGATTTAGAGTTTGCCAACAAAGTTTATGATAAAAAATAAATTATCTATTTAGATAACTTTATTATAGATTTTCAATTGTTTATAATGATGAAACTGCATTTAAATAAAATTGGTAATGGATAAAAAATGCACTAAATATGGAACTATAATACAAATTAATTAATTTTAAAAGTTCCTGATGCAATAATAGCTACAAGTTCACAGGAATCCTGTAATGATTTGCAAGATTTTTTGGATTCTATGAAATTGATCAAAGATAATATATTGGACAAATATTTTTAAATAATGATATCAACCTAAATTAAAAAATATTTTTATAAAATACGATACCCCGCTTCCCTCTATTGCTCCTGTTAAGCGCCTGTTTTACATTACTAAACAGGCTTTAGGGGAAAGGCGTGGATGTTTGTTAGATTCAAATTTAGAAAATTTTTTACATTTAAGAGCTAATAAAAGTTTATAAATATTTTGATATATCATTTAATATAAATAAAACTTTTTTGATAAAAAAAATATGATTTTATTTCGTGTACCTTCTAAAAAAATGAAAATAAAAGGAGCGGCTATGGAGTGACACTCCATTACTAGGAGCGGGAGCTAGCTCCTTTTAGAAATTTGGAAGCAGGAGCTAGCTCCTTTCGAGAAGGTAGGGGCAGGAGCGAGAATTGGCTACTTTTAAAAAGGAGCATTAACAACTCAAAAAAATAATAAATCACAAATCAATATAAATCTTTTTTAAAAAGTTTATTTTATAGGAAGCTGTATAATCGATCAAAATCAGTTGTAGTTTTACTCTATCAAACCATTTGCTAAACAACTACCAAATTTTAACAAAATGTAATAACACCTATTTTTCAATATAAACTAACAAAATCACGTAGTGGAGTCTGATCTACCATATATCCTACCCCCAAATACGAAACCACCAAGTTGGCTTCAGAAAAAAACATGACCCTTGCTAGATTCGAACCCAGTTCTATTAGATTCGTGATCAACGCACTCATCAACTAGGCAGACAATATACGAAAACATCAGTTTTTTATATATATAATAAATAAATGATGGGTTTAAATATTTTATGAGAAAATTATAAATGGACAACCCGTTTACAGGGTGTGCCATTAGCCTTATATGCCATGCTTCATTCATAAATCATTTGTCCAGTTCTAGTGATAATAAATAATGTAATGTGCCTTCAATAAATCAATGATTTGTTTTCATAATTAAATAATGTGACTTATCTTGTTAGTTAGTTGTCATTAAAATGAATGCCACGAAGGAGTTTAGTTTTTTTTAAATATTTTTACTTGCATTAATATTTTTTGTAAAACATTTCCATATGTATGTAACAACTTTCAAATAAAAATTTTTATCAATATTTTTACAAGTTACGCAATTTTATAAGAAAAATGTTATAAATGTATGGAAATGTGTCAAATAAAGCATAGTATTACTGTATTGTATATATTACATTGCATACCTTTATTTATCCATTTTTATAATGTAATTCTACAATAAATTTCATTTTCAATTGTTATATAATTTAATGCACATCTCTATTTTATTTTTGTGATAATAAACTCATTCATATCAGCTTTTTATAAACGAATTTCAAAATCAAAGCATATGTTCGTTTTTCTTCATGGAATTGTTTCATTTATTTTCTTTTACTTTTGGGGAGGAAAAGAATATTTTATTTTAATTGGTTGCAATTTTTTTATTTATTTAAAAGCGAGTTAAGACATCGATACGATAGGAATGTAAAATTTCTTCTGTTCTGATTAATGAAGAATCTAATTAGTAAGTAACTACTATCATCGACTGTGTATGTGTTCTATCCACCTTGTATTTTTTTCTATAAATCAATTCTTTAGTATTAATTCTTCCATAAGATTAAATTATAATTTAGAATAATCCTTTATTTGCATAATTATATTGTGATCTCCAATATTTAAATCACAAAAATATCAGCAGACGTAATGAAACTAAAACAATTTAAGTATAATTTTGTCTCTTTTTTTGTTATTGAGCTAGAACTACAAAAATACGAAATCTAATAATTTCTTAATCGCATACTTATACTTATTAATAATAGTTATTCGATACGAAAAATTAAATTTTTCAAATATATAAAATATAGTTATAATTTAAAAAATAAAAATTTCCACGAGGGACATGCCGAACTACTTACAATTTTATAAATATTTACGAATTAAATAAATGAAAAATAATTATTATTAGTCGAATCATTTTATCTATATTCGATTCGAATTTTATAAATCGTATATTTATAACGTCGAATAATTCATTTTAGGAACATTATATACCCGCATAATTTAAGGGAAAAATAGCCATTGTAAAATAGAAATTGGCCCAAACCGGCCTGCCAATATTTTTTTAATCGGCAATATATTTTGCAAATGTCGCTCGCTTAGACCTAAAAATTATATTTTGAGCTTGGCCAGATAGGCCTTTGCAGATTTCTATTTAAACTAAATTCGAAAATCCGGTCATAATTTATATTGCCGTTATGTTAAAAAATATCATATAATAATGTAAGCTTTAGTGAAGTTTTGGATATTATGAATTTTTTTTTCTCATTTTAAACAGCCTATTTCATATTTTGTAAATAGTTCACTTTAATAATATAATTTTTTTCTTCAATGTTTATGATTATTTTTAAAAAATATGCCTCACGAGTTTGCAATCATATAACAGAGCAACGCTGCTTCCCTTAATTTGCAACGTTGTCTTGTCAATAAATAAATATTTTTTATTCGAAATTATAAGGTAAAGAGAAATTTTATATCAGTGAAAGCTTAAGTGCAAATTCTTTATGTTGCCATATGAAAGGCTAATAAGATTATTTTATTACTATCACCATTCACCAATCTCAGCTATTCGTGATAGTTGAAAATAAATATTTTATTATTATAAAAAAGCATAAATTTTTAATATATCTTTCGAGGATTTTTTTTTGAAAGTTTATCTAATGCCCTTCTATCTATCTCTTAAATGTTATATTAAAATGGATGAATTTTAAGTAGTTATAATTAGTTTCATATTATACTTTGTTTAACATAATATCGTAATAAATCATTAAAATAATAAATTAAATTAAACTTAAACAACTTAAACTTATAATCTTTTTAAAAAAAGTTAGAATAATGATGATTTGAAAAAAAAATTTATTTTTTCAAGTTCCGATAGAGCGTCATACAATATTAAAATAATAATTAGGAATTAAGTTCACATAACGAATATCGGTTTCGGTTCTGGTAATATGGATAGTTCGGGTATTAGGTTAGGTTTGAAATTGAACCTTTAAAAACCAATTAAAATCTTTTGTCATATAAACTGTTAGACAATAGAGATACACCCATTTGTTAAAAAATTTTTACCACTTAAATAGCAACTAACTTTTATTTTTTTTTGCAGATAAAAGCGCCAATTTATAAATTATATAGTGTTGTTAAACGGCTCGTTTTGAGTCGATTTTCAAATACGGCTAACTCAATATCAGGAATGTGAACCCTTCGACAAAAAAAGGGTCCTGGTCCGGGTACAGGAATAAAATTTGAAAAGACCCGGTTCAGGGATAGGGAACATAAAAATAATGACTCAAAATAAGATTTTTTTTCATTCATTTATTATTATACTTCATACATATTTATAATTTACAAATGAAAAAATGAAATAATTTATATTTTAAATGTTTTATTCAATTGCACAATCATAATATCTTTTAAAATATCATCCTTGAGATTTCCACGTAAATTAGACAATATATATTTTACGGATGAAAATTCACGTATACCCTTACCTAAAATAGATAGTTATCTTTATAATTATTGTACCTGCGATGCCGGTATAGCCATGAAGATTCTAGATAAGATATATAATTCTGGATATATTGAAGAATTTTTTTCCCAGAATCTTAAAATATTTATATCCATATTTATTCTCTTAACTTCTGAGAACTTTACTAATAAAGATGCAATAGGCATTTTTTGATCCTCCTTTCTATCTGATGATAATTTGATTTTTTTTTCTCTATCTAAAAGTAAATCAAGATCATCAATGTTGCTATCATTATTATTATTATCACTACAACCAATAGGTATTGTCGTAGCCTCCAATATATTGTAAATAATGGAGTTTTGCTTATGCCATAAATCCTTAAGATGATTTATGGCCATTTGTTTTTGCTCAATACAATACTCAATAAAACTTGATATCGAGGGTCTAAATATATAGCGTATATAACACTATTTTGCTAATATTGTTGCTCTCGAATTTTTATGTTTTCTAATATTTCGTATAAAAAGGACTGTAAATTTTTCTAAATCTAATCGGCGTCTAATCCATATTAAATCAAATAAACATAATTGTTCTGATTGTAATCTTAATATTGTTATTTTTAAAGGAACTATTACACTAGGTCCTTTATTTGGCAACAATCATCTTCCGACAAAATGACTTCACATGCTCTTATAATAAAATCATTACAGAAATCTTTCAAACTTAATAATCGTTCTAGCATCATACAAATTGAGGATGAACGTGTTATACATTATCATTTAAATTAAAATAATATTACACAATTCACTTTAAAAATAATCAACGTATTTCTATAACATAAATTTACATAATAAAATATTATTACCTACACTAATGATATCAATCTCTAAATAAAATGGAAGTCCAGGAAGAAAATAAGAAAAACGTGTAGATAAAATAAATGATTCCACAAAAAAAGTCAAAAAAATTTTAAAAAATTTATATTATTTTTTAAAAAATTATTTTTATTTTTAAAAATTCTTATGACACCTAGAACCCTTGGACCCTCCACTTTTAAAAAGGGTCCGGATTTGGGTTCAGTCAAAATACAAGGGTTCAGGAGGGTTCGGGTTCACATCCCAGCTCAATATTTCATCCATAAAAATATTACGTAAGCCTGAAGATTTTGTTCATAAAAGGAACAAAGGTCTAGAAATATATTATCAAAATCTCGAGACTTGGGCAATATTTTTCTGGCTAAAATATTAAGTTAGCCATTTTTAAAAATTGGCTCAAAGCGAGCCGTTTAGCAATACTAAAATTATATCAAATAAAGCAATTTATTTTCCGCAAAAAAATATTATTACGCCGCAAAAATTAACATATTTTCAAGATTTTTTTTGCAGTCAAATTATATTTAGCAAAGGAGAAATAATAAATTTTATCCTTAAAAAATCCTTCTATTCGCATCAAATAACAATATACTCTAATTTCGAAAAATAACAAAATTGATTGATAATCATCTTTATAACATATAGACAACATTTTTAACGGTTCAGGTTCGGTCTGGGCTCGTTAACTAATATAGGTTTGTTCGGATTGATTTGAATTCTTTGTTTTATATCTGTAAATTTTAAGTTTTCGTAAAATTTCTTAATTCATCAATTTGGTGGGAATCGAATAGGAAGAACATTATATAGATATGCCTTCAACCCTTCATTCATCAGGAGCCTTTAAACCAGTAGCATAGTGGGTTATATCCATAGTAGCTTAGATAGATTCTCCAGATTCGGAATCTCTAATAAGATCTCCAATACAGGTTAATTAGTTCTCCATACTTATGCAGTTTAAAAATTTTTCCAATTGAGTTCCTTCTAAAAAAGTTCATTTAATTAAGCTCTATAATGTGCACACTTAACAAATTTTTAGAACTAAACTTATTTTCATTAAACATAATTATCAATAAAATGGCTATCTTCATACATTTTTAATAATAACAAAGACCAACCATTTTTTTATATATAATTTAAAAAAAAGGTATATTAGTTAGTTTTATCTTCTATATAATGTACTATATTCTAGCATGATATAGGATCTGGCTATTTAAATTTTTTGTTTAAATTTTAAAATGGCAAAATTATTTAGATGCTCAAATTTTTAAAAAGTTTGCCAATATCATTAGATGAAAATAAAAAGTAATAAAAAATAGGAATTTTCATTTGCAAAAACCTTAGTTCCTAAAACAATTCGGGCACCCATTTTCATATATATTATTTTATTTTTTTAAATTTTATACATAAAAATTTAATTTTTGAATTTTATTTCCAAAAACTATCCCAACATGAAGAATGTTTAAATTTGGTATTTTGTCGTAGTGAAATTAGAGTGAGGGTACATTTTATCATATACATTAGTGGGTCATTTTGATATTTTTCTAATTTCTTTTTTTCCCCTAACCACATTAATGGAATATTTTCGCTTAGTTGAATATATTTAAACTAATCATACTAGAAGACCTTATCTTTTTCATTTAACATATTTCTGTGCCCTGATGGTCGCTGGGTAAGTTTAATATCTGATATACCAAAATAAGATTTGCTGTCTTTTGTTATCTTATTATTTTTTTTAAACGGGATTTCTGTGCATGTAATTAGTATACTTTATATATTTTTTTGGATAAATTTATTTTGAATCGGGTTTACTTATTTAATGAAAGATCTAATTTGATATTTCTGGTGCATGAAGCATTTTATTAACAATTATATTATTTTATTCGATTTTATTGCTTAAATAATAATTGACAATTATTAAAGATATTTAATCTAGCCTAAAGAGAGGTCCGGTGTAATTCAGATTCCAAAAAATTATAAAAAGATGAGTCGGTTCTTATATTTGACTCGAGTCTGTTCTTATATTTGACCTGGCTCCGAGGGTCCTGTTTTCAACTTCTGTTAAATGAATGAGCAATGAATTTTTTTTTAAAAAGATTTAAAAATATTAAATAATAAACCCTCTAATTTGAATCATGCAATATTTTGAACGATACAGTTTTTATTATAGCCCGTTCGGTTCCTATAAATTTAAGAATAGGGTTGTTTCCGTTTCTCGTATTTTATCCGGTTCTATTTTGGTTCTGGGTTCCAGACGTTGAGCTAATATTCACTATTCTAATTTTAAATATGAATTCGATAATATGCATTTAAAGGTTTTTTTGATGTTTATCAAGCAAAGACTAAATTTTCATTGGCGAAAAAAAAGCTTTTTCGATTCATATAATGATTTAACCAACAAATATTATCATCATTCATTTTCCTTTCCTAAACCTAATTATTGGTTCGAAATAAAAAAAAAGAAGTAAGCTTATTTAACACATGCTTCTTTTTAAGAAAAATGTGTCAGTGAAACTTCCATAAAATGAACACTCATGGTCAGATAATGGCGAGCATTTTTAATGAGGGTTTGAAGTTTGTAGCTCTAATATTTCATTGTAATTGTAGGTTCACCGCGAACTAAATCTATTTAATTTAAACCCAATATTCTGACCTCAAAAAATAATATTTCTTTTTAATTTTCAGGTTTCTAGGTTGGTAATATTGCACGAAGAAGCAGAGGATGGAAAAGCTATGCCTGATCTTGGCAAACCCATCAAGGCTGTTAGCCGAGCAGTTGACAATTTAGTTCGAGTAATTATAATAATTTAATAAAAAGTTATGCACATATAAAACAAACATTCATCCATTATTTAATAAACTTTATTTTACTTTCTTCACACATATATCATGAAATAACTGAACCTAAATTTTTTATATAATATATTTTGAATATTGTCTCTAGAGACAAATAAATAGAAAAAAATTAAAACTTTTTCCTACGTTTACATGTTGCACATAAAATTAGCCAGAATACATATTTTTTTTCTTTCCTTATTCACATTTTCGCTTATTATAAAAATCGATTTGTCAATTTTGTAGTGATTTTTTATGGTGTTTTTTTTTAAAAAAGAGGATTTAATTTTTATATTGGACAAATATTATGATATCAATTATTACTTTTTTTAAGAATCAATTTTAAAAATGATATTTTACCGTTGAAAATGGAATAATAGTTAATAAATGAGAAAGGAATTTTTTTTTAAATAAGGAAAAGTTGATTTTATTTGTATCAAGAAAAGAGGAAGCTATAATATAAGTTAAGAATGATATATTTATTATATAATTAGGGCTGCATCGATCATCTGATTGGGTCAATATTTTTTTAAACCGATTCGATACCAGAGTTGTTAAACGCTATTTTTAAAAGTAGCGCGCTACCGCTATAGCTATTTGTCAAAATAAATAGCGCGCTACCGCTTTCGCTATTTGTCAAAAAAAGTAGCGCGCTATTAGCTACTTTTTATAAAAAAAATTTTAGAAACAAATGAAACAAATTTTTTTTTATTTTTTTTTGCTTATAATGTAAATGTATAATAAATAATATATAAAAATCAACATTTATAAATATAAAAATATAGTTAGTTTAGATTATAAAAAAATGCAATATAAATAAATATTTATTTTAATTTATTGCATTTTAATATTAATATCATTTCAATATTATCATCCCCAAGCCTAGAGTGACGATCAGAAAGTATAAGTACTAAATAATCTCTCGACACTAGCACTTGAGGGCAAGGAAGCTCTAAAAATATTTAATCAGATCAATTTATAAATATAAATAAGTTTTTACCTTCTGCTATGTGTCCAACTATCTGCCGGTGTACATACATAAGATATATCTAATAACTCTACTATTAGAGCATCTTTCATCACTTTGAAGTTGTCGGCTATTTTATTCATAAGTGTCTGGCGACATAAAACTGTTGTGCCAGGGGATAAAGTTTTAATCATCATAGTAAACGATGGATTATCAACCAAGGACAATGGCTGAACTGTGTCAATAATAAAATCAACAATTACTTTATCAGCCAATTTTTGTGAAATATTGGCATGTTTATTATCAGTTAATTTGGTTCGGATAGTATTTGTCTTTTTGAATGAAGATTCTCTTATACCAAATTTTTTTATATGTTTCTCTATTTCCTTATAGTAATTGGCGTGAACAGTCTAATAAAATAAATAATATTATAATGTAAAAATAATAATTTACCTTTAGGTGTTTCTTCAGGTTATAGCTACTCGATTGATTTGATGATATATTTTTTTTACATTTTAAGCACAGGAATTTGAATCCAGATTTTGTTTTAATATTTATTTTAAAAAATTTTTCAAATCTAGGGAATGGGAAATCGTTATTAGAGCTATTAAATACATTTTCTTCCATTGAATCTTCCATGTCTGAATCACTTTCAAGGATTTGGATATCCATGGGCGATGCCATTTTAGATTATTAACACAGATTGAAAATATAAATTAAAAATTGAAAATATATTTAAATTTCAAAATTAAATAATAAATTATAAAAATTATAATTAATTATGATATTATATTTAAATTTTCATGTTTATACTTACATTCATTATATTTTTTTAAAGTAGCGAAGTAGCGCGCTAAAAAATTAAATAATTTTAAAAAAAGTAGCGGCTATTAGCTATAGCTACCAAAAAAGATAGCGCGCTACTCTGTTCGATACTATATTAAAATTATCAGAATATGCGAAATTTTAGGCCCTGCTGTGATTTTTATTTTTGACCATTCTTATGGTACAAGCCCGGAATTTTTAAAATTTCGTTTTTTAAATAATTTTACTTTAACTTGACCCGGCCTGGATTTTTAAAATTCGGATTTCTGGCCGGGTCTAGATATCTTTGATTTTATTATAGTAGTAGTGTTTTTTTTAAGCAAAGATATAATTAATCAGTTTCTTCATTTTTTATATATTTTTTATTTTTATAAGTTAGTTTAATTTAGGTTAAAAAATTTTAATAATTTATGTAACAACCACTGATGTCAGTTAAGGTTGAAAGTATAGCCTGAAATGATATCAATTTTATATTTTTTGAACAATTAATTAATTTTTTTTTAAATATTAAATAACGAGTTGATTGAGAATTATATAAAATGATGGTTTCTTAAAAAAATACTCGATGACTATTTCTGCCATTGCTGATTGTCAATTGGAATGATGGTCTTTCTTTAGCATTTTAAAAAAATTTGTGGTTCATAATACTCTTCATCCTTCTCACGAGACCTGATGACAAAGCCGGCTTGAAATATTATAAATTTACAAAAAAATGAAACGGGATACAAAGCCTATTCCGATTATTTTTCCCAAAAATCAGATTCCGATTCGAATTTTTATCTTAGAATTAAATTCGCTCCGAAAAATAAACAATAAAAGAAAATATTGAATTGAGAAAGTACGATTTTTTTTAATGGAACCCAAAAAAATATTTATAAAAGAATTAGGAAAAACACAATAGTTTAAAATTTTGGCCCGAGTAAAAATTTTAAAATTAAAGTCCGGCCCCCAAAAAAAGGTCTGTTCATATATTAAAATATGACTCTGATTAAAATGGGGCACATTGGTCAACTGTTCAGTCATAATTTCTTGTATATGCTGAGTGGGTGGTGAAAAATGAATAAAATAGATAGATATTATATAATTTGATGTTTACTAAATTCGCTCATACATTAATTTATATATAATTTAAGAAAAGAAAATTAGTTAATGTCATTCTTAATCTTCTTCATTAAAAATAATGATTTAATATTTCTTTTCAAATCTGGCAAAATTATCATCGATATAAAAAATAAGAATATTTGAGTATCCTTTTCTATAAAAAAAAATCACAACTTTCTTTTTATTCGTTAAGTTCATAGATATTCCTTTTTTTAAAAATAGATTATTTTATAATATATTTTTATGCAATACCAAAAAGTGTACAAAATTATTTTAAGCTAATAAATTTATTAAAATTTTTTAAATAATTTTATAGATATTCCACTGACTTTTAATGAAAAAATTATAAGTTAAGTGTAAAAATTTATAAAATAAATGTTCGATTTGAATAAGAATTTGTTTAAAAGAACGATAAAGATAGGGACATTGACATTTTTTATAAGATGTTCGAATTGAATGATAACAAAATAAAAATATGTTGTTTACAAATAATTGTATTGAGATCTCATAATAAGAGTTTCTACGCGAAAACAACGTTAAACCCAGTGTTAAATATGATAGCGGCGGATATGAGAAAAGTAAATCTTACAAGTATTGTTGCTCAGGACCGTCAAAAATGGGGAAAAAAATAGAGGGAAACCCGGCCAATTTGGGTAAACCTGGAAATCGCCATAAACAGAGAAGAAGGAGAAGAAGAATATACTATGCAATTACATTATAGGCAAAAAATAAAATAATTTATTTCTAAATTTTTTTTATAAAAAGTAGCCAAAGCTACTTTTAAAAAATAGTAGCTATTATCGGGGATTGGAACAAAATAATCCGATTATTTATAAGGTACGAACCTAACTAGCAAAGCGAGACCGGTTAATTAAAACTATGGAAGTGCGGAGTAGGTTACGTGGTCGAAATTTTTTCCCTATTAAACCGTAATAGGTAAACATTAAAAATAACTTTTAAGAGTAATTTATGAAATGTTAAAAAGAAAAAAATAATAAATAATACGATTTCAGGGACACTAGTTTATAAATGATTTTGTATGAATTTAAATCCTTCATATCACAATTGTTTAATTTTTTGATTTATTTAATATTAATTAAGAATATTGTCTTCAACGTATTCATTTTTTTAAAACAAAATTTAAAAATAAAAGCAGTTTAAATTTTAATTAAATCTTAGAATTTAAATTTATATGAATGATAAAATTTTTTTTTTCTCTCTTTCTAATTATTAGATCAAGCATTTTAAACACAATAGTTAAATTTTATATTTTTACTATAATTAATTTTTACACAAAATGTTATTCGATACTTTTAGAGTTTTTGTTGCTTACATTATGTTGTTGGATAATGATAGTTAATTTTTTTTGAGCACCTTTATATCATAAATAATCGATATTTAATTGAAATAAATTTAATAGATTATAATCTATTTTTTCTAATTCTAAATTAATTGATATTTTTTATTTTATTGAATCAATCATTTAAATCATGAAATTTAAAACATTTTGATTTTCCTTATAAAAAAAATATATTGTCACTTATTGAATATTGACATTTTTACACTTAATTTGTTAATTACGCTAATTTGTTATCAAAATTGACACATAATCATTGTATAACATTATATTTTACTATTTAATACATTTTCCCTATTAAATTTTAAAGTTCAATCATATAGGCCGTTTATAAGTATAATTGACGGGCCAGTAATATACGTTGAATACAATGGTAAAATGTTTGAGGAGGGTATTATCGTCCTTGACTTAGGGGGTTGTAGAAGTTCCTTATTCCCAGGCAACCGTATCTTCCAAAATAATTAATCATAATCTTGCCAAAATCTCAATTCTCAATAGGAACGATTGATAAAAAATTTAATAAAATTAATTAGGGGATGTAATTTATAAAACTTATAATTTTGATAGATAACAAAATTATCTCAAAAATATAAAATTTCATAATCTAAAAAATCCTGTAGCGTTTCATGGATTTATTCTAACATCAAAAAGTTATTTTTCTCAATACTTTTTTTTCTCTGTATAACTGATACCGTGTATACACACAAAAAAACATTTTTAAACCCTTGAATTATTTTAGGTCGCATATTTTTTTTTAGACAAAATCATTGTTAAAAATTTATTTTCCATGAATAACTAAAATTAATATGCAGGAAATTTTCTTATAAAGTATTGCATGAATAATTTCAACAGAAAATAATTATTATTAAGGAGGGTTGATGTTTGCAAACGTTTGAGAGATTCTCCCTCATATTTTTTGCCTGCTGCATGCCCTCATATATTTAAGCAATACTGCGTGAAATGCCAGACTTATCTTGGCATATTTCACATGTACTGGGTTGATTTTCTTTGAAATAACGAATGTTCTTTTACATAAATCGCTTATGTCAGCTACCTAAGGTAATCTATTTCAAGCTTTTGATTTAGCGAATCAGTATCCTAAAATCGTTTAATAGTTCATTGAACAGTTTCGAAGATTTCATCATGCTGAATTCGCCAAAGTTTTTCTTCTCGCAAATTTTTATTATAATAAAGATTATATTTTGGTGGCATTACTTTGCCTAAAATGCTCATTATAAATCATCTATTTTGTACAAAAATTATGGGGAGTAAAATATCATATTTCTTAGCCAATATTTTCGGCCTAACGATCTATAATATTAATTTTAGTTAGATCTATTGAGTCTTTTATTTTAACGAGTATTTAAAAACTTCAATTTTTGAACCATCTGTATATATATCAAACCCTGCAAATTTTAATTTTAAGGATTGAGCTAGGCCAAATTTGATTTATTTTTAGCCCAATTATTTATATTTTAAGCTCGACCCTGCCTAAAATATAATGGGAAAATTAAAGTTAACTAAATAAATCACACTAATTGCTTTTTCCTGTTCTAATTATTAAGTTCTACGAAATGATCATTTTATTAAAATAAATCAATATTTTTTTAACCCAAGCCCGACGCGTTAAATTTTTTTAAGTCTGAGCGACTTCTAGCTTTAGACTGTATTTATTATACGACATCCTTCCTTTACATTATGATAAAATTTGCAATGTCATAGGTAACATTCATCCATAATAGGTTTAAAAAATAATTACTAGAAAAGACCTTTTAATATGATCGCAGAAAAAAGTTTTAACTACCTTATATATCAGCCTAGGTGGTAAGGTTTCTGGGAACAATCGAGCATTTGAGTTACAAGACGATAGCAAATTTTAAGCCTATTGTCAAATTATTAAACCTTGACATGGCCCCAATACATCTTATCATCCACCGGCGCATTTAAAAAAAAATCGCATCGGCCGATAAATAAAATGAAACCCGATCCATCTATCATGACGCGTTTTCCGTTCTTTAAAAAACACAAAGACGGACGAATACTTTAAACTATCACTAGTGCACTCTAATTTTAAAGTTTAATTAAGCTTTAATCGGATCTTTACAGGTTATCTTTCATTTATAATTAAGTATAAATTTTGGCATAAATGATCCCTTTATGAAAAGGCAGATTTTAAAAAAATAGCTTATGATATTTCTTCTATTTTTGGCAGCAGGGCCAATTGTATTTAACAAATTAATTTTTAATCACTAAAAGGTTGGCAAGGATACCTACCATAATAGCGAAGACAAAGTATTGAAACAAGATATGCCCATAGCATTACACCGGGTCGAAGAAGCGTCCAAATTTTTAGAACAAGCCTCCGAATTACTCGTCGATGACCCTTTTTCATTATCCGCTCGCAAAAAATTGATCGATGGAGCAAGGGGTCATTACCCCACAATTATATTAACACCTTATACAATTGAACATGATAGATTTTGATTATATTGATTTTAAAATGATTGAAAAAAATAGTGTTATTTGACGAATCAGAAGTTTTGTTATTAAATTTTAGTTTAAAATGAAGAAAATAGTTATAACTTATAAACATTGAAAACTCGAAAAATTTAGGTTTCGTTAGAAAGACCATGCTATCTAATTTTGCCATCTTTTCCTAACTATTTCCCTTTATTTATTTTTTTTGTCAATTCTAAATGGATTTTTACAATATATTTTATTTTTGCATATATACTACATAATATCGTTTTTTGCGTGTTTTTTTTAAATGTATAAACCTATGTCCTAGTAAACAAAATTGCACAATTTTATTCGCATTAAATTTTTTTAAGCGAAAATAGGTTTGTTGCGAAATAAATTGCATACTTATTTATTGCTTTGCCACTTGCCATACTTCCCAATTTTAATTTCTCATTAGGATGTAGGCTAAAGAACATATATAAGCGATTGGATAAAGTCTCTCATTAGGCTATGCCGATATTAAAATGATATGGTTATAAATGTACATATCTCGGAACTGCCACAAGATAACCAGTAAATATTTAATGCATAACATCTTGGAATGTCGAAAATCTTTAAAATAATTTATCAAACAAAAATATGTTAAGGAAAAGTCAGCATCAGCAAATGAAATGAGCCTATGTCATGGATCGGTTTTTAACAATTTTTGCCGATCCGATTCAGAACAGATGTTTTATTGGCCAAATCTGACGCCTCCTTATAATAATTTTGTTTTATAACAAGTTTTAATGTTATATCGATATTCCAATATGTTTATGCGTAAAAAATTAGGTGCCAATCTATTGTCAATTCTAAGATATACACATTTATAGATCATTTTAATATCGGCCAGCCCTACTCATTACTGTATTTTGTATTTTTCATTAGGTATTCTACAAGGAACGTCGCTACTTTTACTAGCCTTCGACGAGTCAGAAGTTCGTAAAATTATAGCTCAATGTAAAAAAGTATTGGAATACTTTGCAATAGCCGAGGTCATCGAAAATATGGAAGATTTGGTTAAGTATGTTAAAGTAATTGCATTTTTTTAAATTTTTAGACAAAAAAATGGTTTTAGATGAATATGTTATTGTTTTCATGGTATTTTAAATTATTGCTAATTAAACCTGAATTAAAGACGTGTATTAATCCTTGACCGGACATACCGATCAGTCGGGTCATTTCATGTCAAATCAAGTACCTCTCAAATCTTTCATTCGATAAAATTTGTAGGCGCGTCATATATAGTCTAGCTAGATTAAAAAGATTTTAGCTCGTTAATTAAATTATCTGAGATATTAGGAATTGAAGGAACAACTTTTTTTTTTACCCTTTTCCGATATTAAAAGTTATTAATTATAAACTAAATCATTTCAAATATTGAAATCTAATATAAATAACTAACTAAATCTATAATTGATAGCTGAGAAAGAAAATCAAAATGATAATTTCAGTAGAAAATTAATATTTTTTAATATAAATAAAAGCTCCAATTTTAGTCATTTTTTCCCTACAGCTCGTTTACTATTTCTGATAATTACTTCAATAATTAGCGCGGCTATTTAATTTCCTCAAATAATTTAGAAAGAGAGAGCGTATAGATGACCCTATTTATGATTATTTTAATGCAATATTGTTTAAAACCATTTTAAGGCATTATAAATAATTTATGAGTAATTTATATAAATAAAAAATTTTTTTTAAGATATTACTTTTAAATCAATTACATTGCTATAAAATGTTTCTAACGTTTTTTATTGCATTGAAACCATATATAGCGCAATCTACCTTTTTTGTTATTCGCAATCTCAAGGAAATTAAGCAGTCGCGCTGACTATTGTATTAAAATAGAAAATGTTTTTAAGTTGGAGTTTCTAGTCATTTTGAAAATTTAATTTTAAAAACATAAGATTACTATATATAAATTTTTTTTTGTTTTTTTCCCATTAATATCAATCATTTACCTAATTATAAATATAAAATTTAATAAAAATATTGATTAGTTTTTAATTATTATCTAATTATTTAACATTGGAAAAGAGTTAAAAAGGTTTATTTTTGTTCTTTTAATTATCTAAGATAATATAATTACCAAAGTGGCAAAATTCCTTTATATTCGAACTAGAACATATATGACGTTCATACAAATTTTTATCTAGATTGAAAGAGGTCGGCCGAAAATCTCATTTTTTTGTTCATTTGTCATGAAAAATCATATTTGGCACTATTATAAATTATGTCTTTATATAGAAATTATATCTAAGTCCAGTTTAATGGTAATTAAACCCCGTCGAAGGTCTTATTAATTTTATTTAGGAGGTACCCACAAATGTTTGTTTTAAAATGCAACCATGCCTATTCGATTGTTTTTGAAATGGGAAAAATTGCATTGCGCTTATTAAAGAATATCTCGAAAAGAGAGAATATCAAAAAATTAATTAGAAAATATAACCAAAACCCACTTTTTTATAGAATATTAAGCACTAAAATAATTTACCATAACAACAAAGAAATGTCTTTTTGTCACCGTTTTTTTTAAAGTGAGCACGATTGAAGTACAGTTTAAATTTAAAGAAAAATGACTGGGTTCAAATGTTGTTGAAAGTTATAATTTACTTTACCTTAACGCCCATGTAAATGCTATTCTGTCTTTTTATGTAACGAAAAACACTAACCATTACATTAGTAAACGTTTGTTTTCGTTACTTTATACATTTTAAACTTTTAATAGTTGATCTTCAAAGGAATCTGCTATCTGATCTCATTGTGAAAAATTTTGTTAATATTATTTTCCCTTCTTAAAAATATCAAAAAAAGGATGTTCTAATTAAACATCCACGATCAATATCAATTCTTATCTAGAAACATATTATGCAAGCCTGAAGATTTTGGTCATAGATGACACAAAGGTTTTAACATTTATTAGCTAAATCTCGAGGCTTAAGCGATATTTTTCTGGCTAAAATATTGAGTTCGTCGTTTTTAAAAATCGGCTTAAATCCAGCCCTTTAACAACATTAAACTTATTCTTATTGCGAATGTAACAAGGAGATTCTAACCTTTATATTTATCTAAGTAACTGTAATCGTTCAAGTAACGATAACTTGGCCTTTATTTCAAGTCTAACTTCAAGATTGCTAAATAAATTTTTAAAAAAAAAATTTATTTGAACCCCGTACATATAATTAATGAAGAAAATAATAAATTCTACTTAGTTATGGTTATAAGGTGTTAATATTTACCTAAATTATTTATTTATTGTCGAATATAATTTAACTAATTTTTTTTATGGAGTATAACTTTTTTATAGCTAAATAATTTTATAATTTAATTTCCTTTCAAACGTAACCTTGAGAAAATATTTAAAAAAATTTTTTTTTAAATTTTCAATCATATATTTATTTAAATTCTATTTCAAAAAAAGGATTTAACGCCTAGCCTTACAAATGTCACCAAAATGGTATCATTCAGGGAGAAAGAATTAACTCATCAAGTGCATTCGGAAATTTTGCAGCGTAGCTTAATTAACATAAAAGATCAGACACCTCTATTAATATCGAGCATGAAGATATATATTCAAATTTTAAATCAAGGTAGTAAAAAATATAATATTAAAGAAATAAATATTTTTCCGAATACATTAAATATAAATATATTATATATCCTTTAGTATTCAATTTTGTTTTCCAAAATATAGTTATTCCATTGATTCTTTTTATTTTAATCCCACTTAATGCCACCTAGTACTTTTTAATCATATTTATGCAAAGAATTTCGGAACCAGTTTTATAATATCAAATCGTAGCGAGCATTCATTTTATTATAGATATCGGGCAATATGTCTGATCTAATATATTAAAATCTCTCATATATTTTTCTAAAAAAACTTTATTTATATTTTTAAATGTAATAATTGATTTATCTTTATCCGTTATAGTCATTTCTATATAGTATCTACTATTAATATAAGGAGGCAAAGGGATCGAAGAATCGCGTGCTAATCGTAACTACCTTATAACCTGCATGAGTCAAACGGTCGAAGAAATTATAAGAATCCTGCAACTCACCACTTATGAAGAAGACGAGTCTTCTCTCGATGAAATTACTATTATGAAAAAGGCTTTAGTATGATCAATAATTCATCCTTCTTTATATTTTTTTTCCCTCTAGATATACTATTTTTAAAATATATTTGGCCAATTGTTTATAATATCGGAAATCCTTTTTGATTGATTCCATCATGTGATTTTTCTACTAATTGATACAACTCTTATACTTTTTCATATCTGAGAATAGATTAAACACTAATTTTTTCATATTCAGAAAGCTTTTGAAAGCAAATTGATAGCCTGCCATGATTGGCTCCAAGATCCAAATGCGATCCAGGGTGGAATGGGAGAAAAGGCCATCCGTAATACATTAGAAAACGCTCTAAAGATAGCTAGCAAATGTAACAAAAGTGATAAGGACATCATAACTAAAGCCGTCGGTGATATATCTGCCTTAACGGACGCTTTATGCGAATTAAGATTGGATGATAAGGTTCACCAAATATTTAAAATAACATTTATTTAATATATTATCCATTACGATATATAAAAACTATTGACGTCTTTTTATCATCTATATTTACATAATTCACTAATTTACTTACGTATTCACTCTTTTCCTTATGGCTGAATCATCTTGCTTTATTTCTATCCCTTCCAATTACTTTCAAACCTATTCGCCCTTTAATTTTTATATTCATTTACGTTTTACTCTACTTCACCCCACTGGAAAACTCGCTGTAATTTTTTTATTGATTGGGTATTCTTCACTTGTTGTCAACCACATTCGCATCTCTTTGCATCCAAATTATTATCCCTCTCATAAATGTCCTTCCCTCCTCCCTTTTACTTATTCTCAAAATATATAATAATTAGGGCGATAGTCCACAGGCTCACTCTCTCTCTAAAAGCGTACAACAATCATTGTCTTCCCTCAACGAAAAACTAGCCTCGGCCGTGTCCCGATTTATCTCTTCATCTCCTGTCACTTCCCATCTTCCTCACTTTTCTTCGCACCAAAATGGTTAATAAATCTTTAAATATTTTTTATGATAATTATTTAGAATCTATAAATTACTAGACTTTTCACGAATTGTATATACTAGTACTCTTATATTGAGGTAATATTAGACCACTGTTCTCTTAATCATTTTTAGATTATTGATAATTGTTAAGGTTGGCAGGGAGTTAGACAAGATTTAACAAAAAGATTTAAAACTTTTATTAAATAAATATATTTTATTTTAAAAATATTTAACTCAAAAAAATATGATAAATTTATTCTTTATATATATAAAAAAAACTATTATATAATTTAAATGATACATGAAGTTAATATAAATTGTGTTAATTAAATGAATGCAACATATAAAAATTTGCGCTATATAACAACCAGTATAATAAAATAATTATCCATGTTTAACAATAATAATAAAGATCAAAATTTGTTTTTATCATATCAAGAAGGTGTAGATGAAACTCTAAATGAATGCTGCAAAAGGGGTAAAGCCTGGCTAGCACGACCCATGGCTTTTTCGGTCCGAGAACGAGAGAAAGCTGTTGCATCCCTTATGCGAGTTACAAGCTTTGCACATCGTATGGAAGTTTTGGCTCCCGGGGGGGAGGAAGGATTAGAAAAGGCAGTAAGGAGACTAGAGGAGATGTGTAAGAAAAGGCCCGAAAATAAGGTATTATGAATGTTTGTTTTGTTAATAATACTACCTTTATTATAGTTTAAAGATAGATTTTTTAAATAAATGAAATTTATAATATTAACAGGAAAATCAAATGGCGTGCCAGCAATTAGCTCAAACCATTTCTAATCAAATAGATGAATATGAATTTTTGATAAATAAGAATTTAACAGCTCAAGTAAATTCATGTGTTATTAATGGTATTCTTTTTTAAAACATTGGTTTAGATATATATATATATTCATTAATCTTTTTAATTTAAGAAGATAATTTGTCTTACATATGGCATCCTTGTTTATATAAATTTCTAATGAAAATCATTTAAAAATTTAATTATCAATAAATATTAGTTGTTTTAAAGTTGAAAAATATTGCAATTGATCATTTTTAAAATTGCAAAATATTAATTTAATATCGATTTTAATTTATTTTAAAATAATAACTAGTAATTATATTGCAAATAAATTTGATATAACATTTATAATATTTATATTAATTTTATAATACTTATAATCTAAATTAAGGCCCTGGCGTACTTTTTGGATATCATTTCACCGCTTAAACATTTTCTCGAAGCAATTATTATTCCGTTAGGTAATTATCATATAAATGTAAATCTGATATTAAAAGAGCGTATTTACATTAGACAATCCAGATCGAGAAGATATTTTTGATGAAAGAGCTAAGAATTTATTAAAATTTACCAATCAAATTAGTGATATTTTAAAATTATTTGCAAATAACGGAAATATTGGAAAGAAAAACGCGGAAGAACTACGTTTAATGGCCAAACAAGTTTATTTTATTTTTTATATAACATCATGCAAATGTATGAGCAGATTGAAGATTTAACCCATCAACTTGTGTCAGCCGCCAAAATTAAATTTCATTTCCCAGACAACAAAGTAAAGTATTAACAAAATTTTAAACATTTAACTAACAGCATCTTGTTATCGAATAAATATAATGTATACTTATAAATAGCATGCCGAAGAACACTTCAATATATTATATCAGAAACTTTCGGAAATGGTTGTTAACGCCCGTAATTTATTAGATGCCTCCCTGAATAGCGAAATTTTTATACACGTAGCTTTGGAAAATATTAATCATCACTCAAGTAATAGAAAAATTATTAGTAAAATTCACACATTAAAATACATAAAAAACCTGAGTAGATTTAAATTAAACAGGCAAACCATCAAAAAGTCATATCTTTCGTATGGCTATTCTAAGGGTACCTCACAAGGTTAAGCATCTTGTTGCAATTGTAACTTGATAATAAAAAATTAATAACGCTTTTAACTGTTAATAATTTTAACTTACATATATTAATGTAAGCCGAATGTGAGCAAGCGTTTGCTCACAACCAACCACAACGTTTCGTCGAGAACACATCGCAAATAGCAAGATTAGCTAATCGAGTTTTAATGATAGCTAAGCAAGAAAGTGAAAATTCGGAGGATTACGAATTTCATCAACAAATAGACAAGGCTTCGTTAACACTCAATAAAGGTAGTGTTTATTTCTTTACCTTTATTAAACCTATTTTATAATCTTCTTTATTTAGTTAAATATTCAAACTCTATAAAAAAATATATTTTGAAATTAATACTATTTAAATTTATCATTTGGAATTACGAATTAGAATCGCATAAAAATTTATGATCATAATTTATTAAAATATTTATTGTAAAAATTTAAGATATTTTGAATATGGTGCAAAATGCAACGCAAATCGCTTCGGACTTTCAAAATAATATTTTACTTAGCAAATGGAGAGACGCAAATAATGGAGTTTATTAATCTATACTGTATATACATAATGTTTTATAAAAAAATTTTAGATTCTAACTTCCGTTAAAAGGGTACAACTGGCTATAAATGGAAATGGATCATTATCCAATAATTTACAAAAACTTCGATTGTGTAAATTTATATTTTTTTATTGAATGTATAAAATTAAGATAGTCCAATTCTACATTATTTGACCTATGCATATATAATATTATAAAAAAACTATAAAATGTTTTTTAGCTATTCTCATTAAAATTATATTCTTTATTTTTCTTTTTTAAACTAATTCTTCAAATTTATTTATATTTCTTAACTAATTCTTTAAATTTATTTTCCACCTCATAGATTTCTTACATCAGTTTGATCAGGCTTCCGGAATTTGATTTTTTTGTAATCTTATTTTTTATTAGTTATCGTGATACTTTATTTGCTAGAGGTGCCATATAGAAAGAGTGATTCTTGTCTTTGTATTTTTAAATTTGAGAGGCTAATTCTAATTTGTTTCCCTCATTTTTGCATAATCTCAATCTCTTTTTCTATCAAGTCAAGGTAGATTTTTACATATAGATCCTCTAAATGAGTCAAGTTATTGGCTCGATCCAACTAAATAACAACCCTACTCTTAAGATATTGTATAAAAAATATATATGGAAAAGAAGGAAAAAACTATTGGTCATAAGGGTTCAAAATAGTTGGGAGAGATTGAATTAAAATTTACAGATATATAATGAAATCCTGACATCAGAAGGGACGCCTCATGAATAAAGTTCAATTATAATTATATTTTTGAATATAAATTTGAAGACATGGGTAAAAAAAAATATAGAAAAGAGATTAAGATAGGAAACCTAGTTTGGATTTGAACTTGGTAGGCACACGTCGATGCAATAAATCATTTAATTTATTTTATATTATTTATATATTTAAAGCTCCATACAATAAAACAAGACCTGATTCTTCAACCGATAATTATAAAACTAGGAACCCAGGAGGTATTATATGAAAGATAAAGCCTAATATGAAATCTTATCAACATTATTTATTTTTTAGACACAATTCATTCAAAATCACCATTGCCAAATATTGTACCACCTAGGCCACCGCCCCCAGAAACAGATGATGAAGATGACTATATGCTTAAATTCCCTCCTAATGAAAATCAACCTATTCTAGTTTTCATTTTAGTTATGAATAGTTTAATATAAGATATAATTTATATAGCAAGCTGCTCATTCACTTCATCAAGATATACGGCAATGGTCAAGTAGAGACAATGAAATTATTGCAGCAGCCAAACGAATGGCTTTGTTTATGGCAAAATTAAGTCAATTAGTTAGGTAAATAATAATTTTATTACAAAGGAGAATATATATAATTTTAAATCATTAAAGAGGTGAATGTGGATCTAAAAGAGACTTGATTGATTGTGCTAAAGATATTGCCGAATCTTCAGGAGATGTAACTAGATTAGCTAAAGAACTGGCGAAACAATGTACTGACAAGAGAATGCGAACTGTGAGTCTTTAAATATTTTTTGAAAAAGAATCTTGCATGAGATAAAAAAAAGGAGACCTAAAGTACAGATCCTGCTATGGCTACCCACGGGTTAATATTTTGTTCATTATACCATGATTTTGAACATAGTGTTATGGTGCCGTGCTGGTCTACTTAGAGGTCGATGGGCCCAACCATGGGGTATTTTTTGAGCAGGGTCTGATAACTTGTGCCAAATATTTTTTACGGGCCAGAATTCCAAATTTTTTTTTACAAATTATATCTTTTTCCTTTATAAAAGGATATGTCAGGCTGGACAAGTATCTGTTCATTATTAAACATGCTCCAAAAAATGGACTGGACCTTGCTAAAAAATATTCTCCCAATGATTTCCGCCAAGTCAACCTCTAGTTTACATGAATAGGGTGGGGGCAGGAGCCAATTGCCTCCATATATATTTAAAGGGGGTTGAGTTTAAAAAATGTAGGGCATGTTGCTTCAGATTCTTTTCTCTCATGACGACGCTGATGCCTGGACCTTGAAATGCGGTTCACTGTAATAGGCTTTTATTATTTTCAATTCATTGTCAACCCTTCAAAGCACTTTTAAGGATGGGATCAAATAATTTTTTTTTTAAATGCAGGCTTGAAAATAAAGGATTTTCTTAAATCCGAGGATCGGGCTTAAATTATCTATCTCTGCATGCCTGTCATATTTAATAATTTATAAAATAAAAAATATTTAAATTCAAAAATTATGAAAAACAAAATATTAATCATGTCCTTCAGTGGCGTCACTACTATAGCCCCCTGACTAAAAAAATATTTTTATTAATGGCTCCCTAAATGATTTCTTTTATAATTCTATTAAGTATTATATATAGATTTGATTTTATTATTTAAAAATTAATTATACTATCTAAATTTTAATTATTAGATTAAATTAATACGTATAAATTATATTTTATTATTTAAAAATTAATAAGACTAACTGAATTTTTATTAAATAAATGCAATTTTATTTATTTGATTAATATAAATTATCAGTAGCGTTACTAGGAGGGGGCGCGCAGGGGTTCGAGTCCCCTGAATAATTTGAATAGCCCCCTAAAGCAAAATAAAAAATTTTTAATGGCTCCCTAATATCCCCTTGGATTAAAAATAAATTTTTTTGATATCCCCCTGAATGATTTTTATAATTCTATTAAGTATTATATATAGATTTTATTTTATTTTTAAAATTTTAATAGACTATCTAAATTTTTATTAAATGAGTGCTAATTTAATTATTAGATTAGATTAAAATTATATTTTCACTGTCAGCTTGCAATCAAATTCTGTGTTAAAAATGGAATATCAATATCACTCATAATGTCTAAATTAAATATTAATTTAGCATTAACAGTTGAAGCTTAAATTATTTTATAACCTTCATTAAATAAATATAATCATTTATTAATTGAAAATTAACAAATTTAATATTGTAATTAGCAGTTCAAAATCACTAATCAATATATTATTCATTTTTAAATTTAATCATCATGCCTCTTTCTAAAAATATTTTCAACGTCCAAACAAGTATAAGAAATTTCTTTATAAAAAGTAAGACATATAATAGATAATCCTTTATTATATAAAATTGGTTACAAAATATTAGGTAAAATTCCACTTTTATAGATATATTTGATAGTTATAGAATATATTACAGTTAATATTTTAAACTTTACTAATCAATGCTTTTGATAATAAATATAAGTAACAATTTAAATTCAATTCTTTAACGCCATCTATTTTTTTAATAAAAATTTTAAAAATTATGCATCTTATTATTCATCCAACAATTGTTGTAATCCTTATCTTTTCTTTTGCGTGTTTTTAAGAAAGCTATTTTCTTCCTTGAAAAACAATTTTGAGTTAAATATTTAATGCGAGTATATTTTTGATATTATTACAAACTACTTTAATTTTAAAGCAACAATAATATATAAAATCTTAATTTCTTTCATCATATCCCTCTGGTCCTTATTTTATAGTTACTGAATGATTCATTTCTAACATGGCATCCTTACTGAAATTACTCAAGTCAACATATTTGCATAATTATTTTTTCTTCCAAAGATTTTTAGTGTTTTTATTTTAGCAATTTATCTAACATAATAAATTATGATATGAGTTTACATCGCGAGTGTCATGGCTATGACTGCAAATTAACCAGCATCTTATATTTGTTTGGCTATGCAATTTAAGATTATTACTCCTGCCTAAGAGCATTTGATTGCATAATTTATATTACTAGTTGTTTATATATCATTAAAAATTAAAGATAATCTTAAATTTATTATTTCACAATAATTTTCTCGATTACTTATCTAGCTTTCATAATGTCATCTAGGTCTAACCATCATATAGTTTTATGATTTGGATTAGTCGTTTATATTCTATTCTTCAGAGTTATTAATTTGGCTAGGCCTAAAAAATTTTCCTTATTAGTCCATTCTACAAAACATTGTTTAAAATAATGGTAACACGTCAATCACCCTAAGTCAATATAGGTTGCTAAGAATTAGAGTTTGTAAATTGCAATTAAAAAAGTATATATTAATATAAAACCTGGCAGAAATCCGAGCAAAAGCGGACCGAATGCAGCCCCTCCCCCCACATTGTAAAGGCTAGTGACGCCTCTGATATTCTCCATTCTAATTTTTACCTAGATATATAAATATATTAATAATAAAGAATGAGCTTCATCGTTTTAAAGTGTTGCAAACTCAAAATAACTTGTTTTTCGTTTTCATTAAATATATCGACACTGAAGAATTGTTTAAAAATAATACTTAATTTGTGACATTTATCGAGTAATTTTGAGATTATTAAAACCGAGATCGCCTATATTGGACTTTGTGAACCCATAACTTCGGATCCATTGAGATAGCTTTAAACTGATAATTATTTTATTTGGATTGTATAACCATTGCACGAAGTTTCATTTTCAATTACGGTGGTTAAAAATCTCGGATTATTGGTCAATTTGTTATAGAATATTTTTTGGCCTTACAAATATTTTTTAAAAGTTATATTATTATGTACTTAAATAATTCATCGCATTGCTGCATCCCACTTTTCCCCTTTTTGAATGTATTTATTGATTGTTTTCCCAAAAAAAGGAAACAACAATATGATAAAAATACATAATTAAGTTAAAAAAAACTATTTTGGATAGCTATTTGGTACACCTCCCCACCCTATTTATTTGATTTGTTGGTATAATAATTAGTATTTCTTCAATATATCGACTTCTCAATGTTATAAATTATTTTACCATTATATCATCACTTTCATATATAGATTTGGTAATGGATATAATTTTTTTTACTTCAAGCGATGCATGTTATATTATTGTAAAATAATATATTGTTATTTTCAATTGATATGTAAATCTTGATTTTTTAGTGTAAGCGTTAATTTCATATTATATTTTGACTTTACATGTCCATTTAAATGTTTTTATTTTGAGGCGTCAATTTAACATATTACCGATTAATTTATTTGACCAAGATATATATGACTGTCTTATGCATACAAGATATTCATTGAATTTTAAAGAAAATAAAAAATTAAATTCGTATATATTATCAAAATATTATCGACTCACAACGTTAGCGCAAGTTTCCCTCCTTGACTCATGCTCATTAAAAAATTCCACTGAAATGTTTTTCATTAAGACTTGAATGCCAATTTTCATTCACTTAGCCTCTAAAGCATTTATATTCTTTTTGGTTGTCAAAAGTACTTTCTTAATATAGTATGTGAAATCTTTTGCTTAAGAATTGTTATGTCACGTTATTTTTTTTTACTAATCGATAATTTTTTCGAATTAAAATGCTTTCATCATTTTGTTAATTAACATTTTTATTCATATAAAATATAAGTGGGTAATCACCGCACATGTCATCAAAATAAATAAATATGAAATGGTAGATGAATAATCAGAGTTGTTAATGAATCGGCGATTCTGGATTCGATCCTAATTTTGTCACCAGGGTTTATAATTTTCTTTTTAATTGAGAATCGAGATCATTTTGTTTAATATTCGATCCTTTTAAAAACTTATTTTTTACTTAATAATAAATTTTTTAAAATAATATTAAAATATTAATTTTTTAAAAAATCGATCACTATCATATTTTAGCATCCTTCGCCATATTTTCTATTTTTCTCATAAATTTTATCAAGACAAACATTTACGAATTTGATTTACAACCTATATCTAGAAGATAATCACATACAGTTATTGAAGTGACAAATATAAATAAAAACATTTTACCTTTTCCTAAAATTCGTATAATGATAATTTCTTAACATGGATTTCCTTTATTCAATAATTCACCCAAAATGTAAGCCTGTTGGTAAAAGAAAGGTTAATTACCCATTTGGAAAACCTGCAGGATAAACCACACGTAGATGCTTATACAAATGATTGTATGGATGAAATTAATACTTTGGGGGGGGGGGAATTCTTAGCAAAAGGCGCTTTCCCCTAATAACTTTTTTAAAAAAAAATTATGATTCAATTAATATTTTTAAGACTTATATAAATTTAAAAAAATTTTTTTATTGAATATAATACCTTATGGAGTGCTTGCTTAATAAAGCTAAACATGTTCTTAATGAAAGACGTGGATGTGTGAATGATAATAGTTTAGAAAAAAAAATTAAGGCTAATATTTTTATTATAACTAATGTATCTAGAATAAATCTTCCGAAATTTATAAAATAAGGACCGAGATCGTGATCCTTTTTTTAAAAAATGGTTGTTTCTGGATTATCATAATTCGATCCTTTTAAAGATCGATTAACCCTGTAAATAATTAATTAAAGGCGTTCAGCATTATTTTAAACCTTTTTCATAAAGTGAACACACATTTGGCGAACATTTGGATAGGGCATATTAATATTTAGATATCCATATTTATGATTTTTATTCAATATTAATACACTTTTCATTTACATACGATTATTACAAAAATCATTCGTACATTTTCGTTTTGAAAATTTTTCTCTAATTTTTTTTTGGCGAACTATATGACGTAGGAGGCAGTAATTTAAAGATAATAATAATGCATTTTTATTTTAAAAAAAAAAGAATTTGCTTCAAGTATGTGAAAGAATCCCTACTATTGCCACTCAGCTTAAAATCCTGTCTACAGTTAAAGCGACTATGTTAGGAGCTCAAGGTATTAACTATTTTTAGAATATTTTTTTAGCATGAACAAATCTTGTTCTGGCTAATGCTTTTTATATAAAATTAAAATAATATTCAGCATGTTTTTATTTTTTTTTATAAAATACTAAAAATCTCATATTTATTTTTAGCTTATTGTTTGCATGACGATTCTACTCAATATGGTAATATTTTCTTTAGCGAATTTTAAGAGTAAAAATAATTGTAATATCGTGTTTTAAAATAGGTAGTGATGAAGACGTGGAGGCAACCGAAATGTTGGTTGGTAATGCTCAAAACCTAATGCAAAGCGTTAAAGAAACAGTAAAGGCCGCCGAGGCTGCTTCTATTAAAATAAGGACCGATTCTGGATACACATTAAGATGGGTACGGAAAAGGCCCTGGTACCAGTATTAATTTTTTTAAATGCGCCGATTATCTAGCAAATTGTTATTTTCCCTCTTATCAAATGGTCATTTATTTTTATATTTAAACACTTTTTGTAAACATCACAGCTACTTAACTATTTATTTATCATGGCCAATTTGTCTTCTGCTTATTATTTTTATAAATAAATATTATTGAATATGAAATAAATAATATACACAAATTCGATGTATTATCTTTATAAGATACTAATTAACCGGTATTTTTTTTCAAAGGAATCAATAGTATTAAGGCTTATGCTTTTCCAAAAATTATATTGTCTAAGAACATGAGACCTAATAGCAACGTATTACTGTATTGTTCCTTCAAGAATGTTTTCCCACCATTTAAATATTTAATATAATATTGCAGCATATTTGGTTCAATATCAATTTGTGAAGGAGCTTCTGAATTATTTGAAAATTTTGATAAAATGCTTTGGGCTTTTTTGATGCTGCTAATTCTTTCCCCTCCTACATTTAATTGATAAAATTTTGAAACTTGACTATCTTTCAGGCTATATATATTTGGTAGGTAGCAATCATTGTTTAAACGCGTAATCTCAGATTTTGGTAATAACAAATTAATTGATATGGCTGCCATTGACAGAGCTGCATACAAATCTACGTATAATTTGACATTTTTAATTGTTGGGCGAAATGATTTCATCTCAAGAACGTACACATCAGACAGAGGGAGCATATTAACCAACTTTTTGATCTAAATTTTTTTTAAAATAAAATATATCATTATGAATTATTTTGGTGACTTTTTTCCATAACAAAATGGTATGGTAGTAGAATAAATAAATTATAAATGGGACGTTAAAAATTAACTTAAATACGGAAATTTGTACGGGCAGGTCGGATATATTTTTTCGTGCCAAGAAATTTAAGCATAATATTTTGAGCTAGGCCAGAATTTGTATTTTTTTAAACGTCTTATAATGCTTTTTATAATGTTTCCTTCATAAAATATAATTAAGAGCCGAGTAACCATATTTTTAGACTAAGCTGAAATCCGATTTTAAACTAGATCCTCCTTTTTTATCGGTACCAGATTTTATTAACTAATTATACTCTGCTTACAATTTAATTGAATAAGTTTTTTAATAATAAATCAATCACGATGATCAGAGGAAGGGACAGTAAAACCCATTTAATTTGGGCACCGTTGAGACCAAGATTTGTGATACTATAGCATTACAGTAAGACAAAATTACAAAGATGGATATAATATGAATAAGATGATTATTTACAATGGTAATTTATAAAATCAACATATTAATTAATATTAACTCATTCATTATTAGCATTAAAAGTGGCAGACTAATACATTTTAAATTTACAATAGTATGAAGAAATTTCTCAAAACATAAAAGGATTAATATAAATATGGCTAATCACTATGCATATAACCAGAATGTCAAACCAAATTGATATAATTATATATTTTTCAATGCTCTCCCAAAATCTTACCTTCAGCCTCATTGTGGCGGGGGAGTGGCAACGTCTTTTGGCGGCTAAGAAGCCATGAAGAAAGCCTGGGTAATGACAACTGAGGAGGTATGTGGATGGACAAAAGGGCCGCCTAGTGGTGGTGGAACCCGGAGGTAGCGAAAACCGTGGACGAGAAACGGAGGTGTTTCAAAGTATGGTAAAATAGCAAAGAAAATAGTGATAATGATATTTACAAGATGGCTAAAAGAAATGCTAAGAAATTAATAGCGAAGGCTCAAGAAGAAAAAAGACACGAGTTTGCTAAAGAAATGGAATGCGCTGATGGAATTGGAAATATGGTTCGAATGGCAAAACAGATGTCAAAAAAGAGGCAGGATGTGATAGGTGTAAAGTGTTTGAAAAATATGTAAGGAAAAATGACGATTGATGGTAGTGGTATTAAGAACACCTGGAAGATTTACATGAAAGGACTTTTGAATGAAGAAAATGAATGGGATAATAATATTAGTTGTGCAAAGGTAGGAGGTCCAGGGTGTAAATTTAGCGAGGACGAGATAAAGAGAGCAGTGAAAAAGATGAAGAAAGGGAAGGCATCGGGTTTAACGATGGTGGTATCAGAGATGTTTAAAGGTTCTGATGATTTAGGGATTGAATGGTTAATGAATTTAGCCAATCAAATTGTCACAGAAGGTACTATTCCCGAGGACTGGCGAAGAAGTATAATTATCCCAGTATACAAGGGGAAAGGTGATCCTTTAGATTGCGGGTCTTACAGAGCTATTAAACTCTTGGAACATGCAATGAAAGTATTTGAGAGAGTGTTAGAGAAGCGGTTAAGGGAACAAATTAAAATTGATGAAATGCAGTTTGGTTTTACATCGGGAAAAGGCACGACAGATGCAATTTTTGTGGTGAGACAAATTCAGGAGAAGTATCTTGCGAAGGAAAAAAAACTATTATGCGTTTGTTGATTTGGAGAAAGCATTTAATAGGGTGCCGCGTGAGATTACTAGATGGGCCTTGAGAAAATCAGGTGTGGAGGAATGGTTGGTTACCGCAGTGATGGCAATGTATGTTGGAGCACAAACAGCAGTATGGACGGATTATGGTGATAGTGACAGCTTTGAGGTGAAGGTAGGACTTCATCAAGGATCTGTGCTGAGTCCATTATTATTTATCTTAGTAATGGATGTGGTGGCTAGAGAAATGCGTGAAGGACTTCCCTGGGAGATATTATATGCAGATGACCTTGTATTAATGGCAAACAGTGAGGGAGAATTGAGGAATAAAGTTAGTAAATGGAAGATGACTATGGAAGCAAAGGGCCTGAGAATGAATGCATCAAAAACAAAGGTGATGATTGGTAGGGAAAATATAAAGATGGAAGAATCCGGTAAGTGGCCTTGTGGTGTATGTGGGAAAGGAGTTGCTAGAAATTCTATCCAATGCACCAGATGCCAGAAATGGGTACATAAAAGATGTAGCGGGAAAAAAAGGCAGTTTGATGTTAGAAAGAATGATCTTTATTTGTAAAACATGCATGAAAGGGACACATAATAATGATAACCTAAAAAATGGTGTTCTGGATATTGGCAATGGGTTAATCCTAGAAAAAGTGCATAAGTTTTGTTATTTAGGTGATATGCTAAACGCAGATGGTAGTGTAGCCGTTGTTGCAAGGATCAGACAAGCTTGGAGGAAGTTGAGAGATGTCGTCTATTCTTACAAATAAAAAAGTTTCTCTGAAGTTAAAGGGGAAAGTTTACGTAAGCTGTGTGAGGAGTTGTTTAGTTTATGGCGGTGAAACATGGGCAATGAAAGCGACTCACGAAGCCAAATTAGAAAGAACAGAGATGAGGATGGTTAGATGGATGTGTGGGGTATCTCTGAGAGAGAGAAAAACTAGGAAGGAATTGCGAGCAAGATTAGGTATAGAAATGATTGGTATCGTATTGCGACGAAATAGACTAAGATGGTTTGGGCATGTGGAACGTATTACAAGAGATGACTAGGTAAAGAGATGCACAATGATGGAAGTAGGAGGACCAAGACCTAGAGGAAGACCCAAGATGACATGGACAAATGTGATAGCGGCGGATATGAGAAGCATGAATCTTACAAGTATTGATGCTCAGGACCGTCAAAAATGGAAAAGAAAAATCAGAGGGAAAACTGGCCTATCCGGGTAAACCTGGAAATCGCCATAAAACGGAGAAGAAGAATAATATATTTTTCAATGAACCAAACCTTTATTTAAAAATATTTAACAAAGCCATCCAAACCTCTATAAACAGGTTTAAAAAGTTTTATAAATTTTAAATAAATGATGTTTTATTTATTATTTACCAAGTGCATTATTTTATTAATAAGTATTAAAATAAAATTTATAGAATGTTATACAATACAATCTTTAGCATTCGCATTATTTTCAGATTTAGAAAAATGAGTTATTTATTAATTATATATATTTTATTTGGTAATATCGTATAGCAATCAAATATTAAGTAAACAAAATCTAATTTTTATTGATATTTAGAAATATCTTATAATAGAAATTAATATGAAAAATAATTTAATAAGTATAATTATATAAATTAAATATTTATTAGCAATATAATATATTAAGTTATTTATAAATTACAAATTTTGAATCCAAATTTCCATAAAAAATCAAAATAATATTGTGTTGTTATAGCTATTGTATTCTATTGCTATATATAATGTATATTTAAATTCATTCCTACATCATTTCATTTCCACAAACAATACATTAATAATTTTTATGGACTTGCACGTTTTAAAACCACCCTATATACAATTATGAAATAAAAACTCTACTAATCATAAATCAAGTTATATCTGGAGGTAATTTGGAAATCTTATTTTGAAAAATGAAAATAAGAAAAGCACAATAAGCCTGCTTAAAATTGGGGAAAAAAGATGAGTAAGATTTGGATAAACACAATCCATTTTCACAGTATTTATTTTAATTTTAGACTTATATTTATATATAATTTATATTTTATTTATGAAATAAAATGTTTTAGCAAAAATATAAGTACAAGGAACCTTTTATCGACACTTAGTTAATATTCATAAAATATCACAAAAAAATTAATAATGCCAACACCAAGATGTAGCAACAATATAAAAGATAAAAAATGGCTCTTAGGTTAGTATTATTGTTTATTATTATTCATTTTAAATTTTTAACTGTAAATTATTTTTATTAAGCTTTATTTTAAAAGTTCAAAACTACTAAATTTTTGTCAGCTCTATTTTGAGATCTTTTTAATGTATAAACTTAATATTTTATTAAATTAATTATGTAAAGCTTTATTTGAAGGTTCAAAACTAAATCAAATTTTTAATTTGTTTCATTCCGGCTCTAATTATTTTGATGTTTATTAATATCTTTTTAATGTATAAAATATATGAAATCTAATAGGGCGAAATTATGTTTTGATATGCTGCTTAGATTTGATGCCATTTACAGTGAGAGGGGGGATATTTTTTACCAGATGTTAAAACAAAATAAAATGATAATATAATATTTTTATTTTAATCATACTTAAACATTAATCTATGTTAAAAAAATATTAAACAACTTTTTTAAAAAATGCCGCACTTGAAGTTTGTACAATTAAAAAAAAATTAATTTTACATAAAAAGCGTATTTACAATATTTTTTTTAATATTTAATTTAATTAATGATGTTTAATATATTTCACATATTATTTCTCCTTTATTCCCAATTACTTCTGTAAGTTATTCTTTGCCCATCTCAGGTGAGAATGAGATGGAAAATTATCAATCATATTCTAACATTTCCACAAATTAGCTACCATTAATGAAAATACAAATCATCCTCTCCTCCATTATTCCTAAAACCAAAAGAACATACCATTGTTGGAATAAAGAAAAGTTTGACATGGTAATAAAATTTTTAGCTATGCCAGAGGAGGAACAGATGAAGATTAAGGACATAGGGAAATTTGTTAATATGTCGAAGGTCTCGATTCATAAAATAAAACGGGATACTTTCCCAGAAATTATTGGTGATCCGTCCCTTAAAAGAATTCACTCTTAAACAAAGAGGGAGAAAAATAAAGGATACATCAAACATTGAAAGACAAATTATTATTTGGAGCTGGGCTATCGTAGACTACCAATTGACTAAAGTAATCTAATTATATAATAAATTACGATCAACTTTTAATATTTTAATTAAATAGATACTACTTAACAAGAAATTTGGGATGACTATGAACTACCATTTAAATATTTTATATAATCAATATTAATGTATTAGTGTAATTACGAATATATTTCTTATTATATATTGTTTATATGTAAATGTAATATATGAATTGAATAAAATATTGAATTAAATTTATATCTCAAACATGATAATAATATAGAGTGGAAAAAAAAACTATTTTCAGAAATAAAAGATTTTGACTAAGATCTAATAACTAAGATGAATAATGTAATCTTTCTTATCTCCAAAAAAGGATCGACAATAAACTTAGGGTTATTATTTCGCAGTGAAATAGAAACGTATATACAAATTATTAGATCTGATTGCTCAGATATTATTTGCTTAAAAGAAAAAATGAAAAAAAAGCTTGACCATAGGTTTCCCATTACTGAACCTTAAGTTATTTTATTTTTTTATTAATAAAATTATATTTTAGGCATTAGATATTAATGATTCTACTTGATCCCAGATTTCAAAATCTTAAAATTGTTTCAGATTATTTAAATTCAAATTCAACATCATTGCAATTTTTAATTAGACCTTTAAAACTTTAAGAGCATGATAGAAATGCACAGAGTGAGACAAGTTGTGGGCAAACATCTAGTTCTTATATAGGGGTAATTCCATGACAAATCGACCAGTGATTCGGCCGACCATCTCAAAAATGAATGAAACTTGGCATGTTAGTTATTTATGTTGTAAATGATAATAAAATCCAAATTTTAGAGCCCCAGCTCAACCAGATCCAAAGATATACGCCTTCAAAGTAGAGAATCGCGTAATGTGTGATTTCTTATATCTTGTTTTTCTTAAAAAATACTTAAGATAGAATTACAAATAATATATCACTTTATAGCCCTTAAAATTTTACATTGGAAAATATTGAAAAAAAGTTAAAAAAATTTAAGTGTTTTTGTATTTCCGGTAAAAATAAAAAATTAACATTCCTGGGAAGGGATTTTTTTTTGGTGTTGATACTCTCTAAAAATGTTTATTACCTTTATATAAAACTATTTAATGAAAAATCTCGATAGCCATTTTTGTTTTTTTAATTTTATTAAAATTTTTATTATTTTTGTAAATAAAAAAGGATAATATAGATGGCGTTATACTAAATTTATTAATAATATATTATATTTAATAATAATATATTTTATATCGGTATTAAAATCAAAAGAAATCGATTAAGTATAACTAGTATGATGTCCTGGGGCAATAAATGAGGAAGCGGCCCATATAAAGATACTTTAAAATTATATTCAAGCTATTATAAAAATATATCTATTTATTGCAATCCATTTTGCGCTTAAATAGGAATTCTTGAGGCCGTAATTTGTATATATTTCACACTTCTGGATCTACTATCGTTATTATTTGAAATTAAAGATTTTATCATCTTATTTATTTTTCATTCCTTTTTTTCTATTAAATTTTTATATCGATAAATAGGAAATTTAATTATCAATCATGATTGAAAAGAACATAAGGATTAAAAAAATATTTCTTTTTTTACTTAAAATTTTTTTTTAAATTTAAAAAATTGTAATAATATGAAATCACTGTGTAGTAATCCATTCATTAGAGAAGGCCATAAGTCTATTTCAAAAAATCTACAAAAGGTAAGTTTATTTATATTATGGATTAAAACCTTTTTAATTTTAGATTCTGGATTGATATCGTGATTATTTTTATTATATATAAAATCCTTTTTAATTTTAGATTCTGGATTGATATCGTGATTATTTTTATTATATATAAAATTAGGTTACACCAAAGATGATTAAAAAATCCAAAGGTTTAAATAGGCCAATCATTATGTCACTCATGTCGCTTATATTTGATAAATATGGAATCCATTGAGGATATATCTGAAAATGAAGAGCCCGAACTAGCCCCATCCAGTTCAACTTTGGATATAATAAATGTATCGCTAGAAGAAATAGGCCAATCCCCAATAAAAAAGAAAAGAATAGGAGAAAATAAATATCCGCAAGAAAAACTTAAAAAAATAACAAAAGCATTTAGTCAAAACATATTAAGAAGCAGCCTTCCTGAGTTTGATATATAAAATAATAAAAATGACGAACTTCTTCAAAATTTAAAACATCATTATCCAATTATTTCTAAGGAAAAAAAATATCAACTTCTTACTATATTGCCCCCTTATTGGACCTTTAAAAAAATTGAGATGGAGTTCAAAGCCACGAATTACTTGGTAAGAAAATCAAAAAAATTAATAGAATTAAAAGGATTTATGTCATCTCCCAATATAAAACCTGGGCGAACAATTGATCTGGAAACCGTGAATATTATAGAAAAATTTTACTCTTCTGATGAAGTCAGTCGCGCGATGCCCGGGAAAAAAAACTATAAATCCATAATGATCAAGGGGAAAAGAGAGCAGTCTCAAAAAAGATTAATTTTAAACAATTTAAAAGAATTATATGAACGATTTAAAGAGAGGTACCTGATAATTAAAGTTGGATTTTCTAAATTTGCAGATTTACGGCCAAAAAATTGTATTCTGGCTGGAGCCAGTGGAACACACAGTGTGTGTGTTTGTGTAATTCATCAAAATTTTAAGCTTATGTTTGTAGATGCTAATTTGGCAAAACTATTAGCTATGCCAGAATATCCATTACATAATTATAAAAATATTTTAGCTCAAACAATATGCAATCCAGCACTCCCTATTTGTTATTTAGGAGATTGTAACTATTGTCCAGGCACATTCTCAATTAAAAAACAATTAGATGTTGTATTTGCCCAAAATGACATAGATCATATATCCTTTAAACAGTGGGTGTCTGTTGATAGAAGCAATCTGGAAACAATAACAAAATCTTCTCAAGAATTTTTAATTTTTTTTTTAGAAAAAATTCCACCTATGTTACGTCATTCCTTATATTATTATTAAAATTAATATAACGCCATCTATATTATCCTTTTTTATTTATAAAAATAATTTTAATAAAATTAAAAAAACAAAAATGGCTATCGAGATTTTTCATTAAATAGTTTAATATAAAGGTAATAAACATTTTTAGAGAGTATCAACACCAAAAAAATATCCCTTCCCAGGAATGTTAATTTTTTATTTTTACCGGAAATACAAAAACACTTAAAATTTTTTAATTTTTTTTTAATATTTTCCAATGTAAAATTTTAAGGGCTATAAAATGATATATTATTTGTAAGAAAAACAAGATTTAAGAAATCACGCATTATGCGATTCTCTACTTTGAAGGCGTATATCTTTGGATTTGGTTGAGCTAGCACTCTAAAATTTAGAATTTACAAAAATATACAAAATAAATAAGTATCATGCCAAGTTTCGTTTATTTTAAAGATGGTCGTCGGAAAATCGCGTTTTTTTGGTCGATTTGACATGGAATGACCCATAGCTTAATATTCCCTTCCAAGCAACGATTTTTTTAGTATTTGGAAAGAAATAAAAAGGATTTGTATTTATTAAGGAAAATCCTAATCATCAGGAGCAATTGAATTAATAAAACTTTCATAATTGTATTTTCATAATCTTTAGAAAAAATAATGGGCTAGAAATCTTATTATATATATATACTGCTGATGAATATATAATTAAAATTACATAGACAATTCCTACCTTTTTTTTAAATAATTAGTTTAAAGCCCAAGGATATAAATGAATGAAAATGTTATAATATAGCATTTTTTAAAAAAAGGTAAAATAACATAACGTTACTATTTCTTAAAAAAAATAATGTCATAATGTTATAGTTGTGATTGTATAACAATGTTATCTTTTTGAGTATTATTGAGTGCTCCAAATTTAATTATTATCTTGTATTTCGATATAATATTTGCATCTGTACCTGATATACATTTTACAAGGAATATTGTTGTCTAAATATTTAACTTGGAACCTGACTAAATCTGGGAAACCAGCTTAGAACTGGTTCTTACTATTGAACTGGACAAAATGGTAAGTAAATTTATAAATAAAATGATGCTCATATCATATGGACTAATAGAATTCAATTCATTATAAATCATGTAATTTTATACTAGCAAAGGGAAAGGTTATATAAGATCTGACCTTTCAAAGCATTAGTAATTAAATTAAAAATCGTAATCTTTTATAAATCTTAATCTTTAATTAAAATAAACTCAATTTAAGTATTTATCAGAATAAAATTTAAAACCTTTTGTATATTTTCATATATATCTTGGCTTTGAGCTAAATTAAGGTCAATGTTTTCATGTGTCCATTGTTCTATTTTACGATTCTTACTTAATTTGATCCAACATACATGTTTTAAAGAAAATTCAATAGCAACTAATGTTTCAATTCTCTGCATTAAATAATGAAGTGAATTTTTAATATAATTAACTTGAGCTAATTGTTTCAATAACGGAGGCGAGCATTCATTTATAAAGTCATACGGAGAATAGTTTAGACCTGAGGCACCTAATTCCTGGTGAAATAATGATTTAAGTTGAAAATCAAAAAATTTTAATTTAATTTTTTTTAGACCAAACATGAATAAGGTATTGTTCAGCTGGAAAATATATTAAAAATATCTTTAATTTTACTTGGAATTATAATAAAAACCGTAGTATAATATTTACATATTTTATATATCAACTAATATTAGCTTAAATATTTATTCGTGGGAGGGGGGGGGGGGGGTGTTAGCAAAAATTATGATTACTATTATTATTAAAGCCCTTCAAAGGTATTATTTGCACGACCCGGCCAGGATTTTTTTTCAAAAAATTGTCCCGGTGCTGCCCGTGTTTTATATTTTCAGGCCTGGCCAGTATTTTAAATATATATATATATATTTTTTCCCTTTAGCTTTCACCTCTTCTGCTGGTGGTAAGCTCCTTCAACATCTCTCTCCACTTTATGTTATTCATACAATCTCTTTTATCTAATTTATACTTCTTTATATTGGCTCTAACTTTATGGCCCCATTGAAGTTTTGGCCTTCCTCTTTTACGTTTGCCCATCGCTTCCAAATTCTCAACCTTATTTCCTATGTAGTTCATAGGCCTTCTCATACCACCTAAGTCTGTTTACCATTAACTTAGTTTTAATGGGCACTAAAACTTTAAACTACTTAGTATTCTTGTACTGCGCACTTTATCCTTTCTTGTTACCCCAGCCAGCATTCTCATCTCCATAATTTGTAGACTTCTCTCTGATTCTGATTGGCCATCTTTCCGAACTATATAGAATAGTTAGTTGTACTATGGAACTGTAAATTTTTCCTTTTAATTTGTGTGGGATTCTTTTGTTAAATAGCACTCCAGATAAAGATCTCCACTTTATCCACCCTTGATTAATTTTACTCTTTGCCGTTTGTTCATATAGTGGAGCCCAAATATTTGAAGCTTTTAATTGCCGATATCTGCCATTCATTTATATCTCTCTTCCTATCACCATATACTCCGTCTTTTATCTATTTACTTTAAGTTCGTGCTTTTCTAGGATATTTATCCAACTCACTAATCTTTCTTTCATTTTATCCTTGGATTCGGCAAGTATCACAATATCATCTGCAAATATCATATTCCACGGTACTGTTTGAGGTAAAGACTGTGCTAATACATCTATAACTGTAATGAAGAGAAGTGGGCTGAGAGCCGACCCTTTATGAACTCCTTCGGCTATTGCGAAGCCTGCTGAAATACCTGTTGCCAGCGTCTACATGAGCGGGAGGGGTAGGAACAGTTTGCATCCTATTTTTTTGAGGGGGTAGGGGGTAAGCTGCTTTAATGGGGGTAAGATAAATTTTTTGGGGGGTTATCTATTATATTTTGATATGAAATAGGACAAAATTTATTGCTGTAAAAATTAATATTTTATTATAGAATTATTATAATACAATTATCGACCAAATCTATATATTGCAAACAATCATACACATTGTTTTCCAAATAAAACTTTCTACTATCCTTTTAAATTACATTTAAAAGGTTTAGATATATCAGCAAGCTCATAATGCCATAATAATTAATTCATTGTAAATAATGGAGGTTTTGATTGAATTTATTATCTAAAAAATAAATTCTTTATAATCACAAAATTAGTTGGTAGAGATAGATTAATTTAAGTTATCTTTATAAATTCTCTGAAAAGAGTATCAATATAAATATGGTCAAAATAAAAATAAAGAGACCGCCGCCGAAGGCGGTGGGGATTTTTTAGGGGAATAGGCAAAAGTTTTTGAAGGGGGTTTGCATCCAATAAAAATCCTGTCATGTAGACGATGCCTGTTGCGCTACGGACCATTGTTGTATGGCCCATATATATATCCTGTATTATTCTTATATATTTTTCGGGAATCTTTTTGTGGCGTAGCGCCCACCAGATAAGTTTTCTTGGGATTCTATAGAACGCCTTTTCTATATCGAGAAAGACCATGTGTAACTTTTTGTTCTTTTCCCTGTATTTTTCACTCATTTGCCTAATTGCGTGGATAGCATCAGTTGTTGATCTTCCAGGCATAAAGCCAAACTGAGTTTCTCCTATTTCGATTATGTCTCTTAATCTTTTTTCTATTATTTTTTCATATAGTTTTAGACAATGTGACATTAGTTTTATGCCCCTGTAATTTTTGACAATTGCGTGGATCCCCTTTATTTTTGAAGATAGGAACAAGATAGCTCTGCCTCCATTTTTATTGAAACTCTTCATTTCCAAGTATCTTATTGTATAGATTTGTGAGGAAATGTATTCCATCATCTCCTAGTGCTTTAAGGCTTTCTATTGGGATATCATCTGGACCCCTAGCTTTGTTGTTTTTCATATGCTTGAGGCATGTGATTATTTCTCGTTCTGTTATAGTTTGTACAAGGTTTTGACATGTGGAGTGTTTGTCTAGATGTAGTATGTGGGGATTAAAGTTGAGAAGCTCCTGAAAATATTCTTTCCATCTATTCATTATTTCTTTTTCCTTTATCATCAATTTCCCATCTTTATTTTTGATTACTTTCGGAGCTCCGTTTATATCCCTAGAATTCTTTTCTCACTGTTTGGCTAATCTGTATATTTTATTTTGCCCTTCTTTGGTATGTAGTTCTTCATACATGTCATCGTATGCCATAGATTTGGCCCTAGCCACCGCCTTTGTAGCTAATCTCTTGGATTTTTTGTATCTTGTCTTGTCATCTGGGTTTTTTGGATTTCTACCAATTTTATAAAGAGTTTTTTTCTTCTGTATAGTGGTTTACCTCTTCATTCCACCACCTAGTTCTTTGTATGATTTGTTACCTCCCCTTGTCAAGCCTAGTGTCAATTTGGTAGTATCTATTAATCTGGATGAAAGGTCTATCCACATTTTTTCACTGACTTGTGAGGAATCTATTGTTTCAATGTTTGCATTGATTACAAAGACATCTGTCATTGTTTTTAATTTACCCCATTTGATGCATGGTTCAAGTTTCATCTTATTTTGAGTGGATTTATTTGAGATGTGTAAATCCATGACTAGTAGCTTGTGTTGCGCGTCTATTACATCTTTTAATCTTATACGAGAGATTAGCATGTAATCTATCTGTGTTTTCCTTGTACCACTTTATATGTTATTAAATGACTGTCTTTTTTCCTATAGTAGGTGTTGGTTAAGGCAAGGTCGAAGGCTTGCGCAAATTTCAGTATATGCTCTCCTTCATCATTTCTTTCTCCATATCCAAAACCACCATGATGCCTTTTGTAGCTATCTCTTGCTTTTCCCACATGAGCATTTAAATCACCACTTATTATGACTAGGTCATCCTTAGAGATTTCCATTACAGCTTTATCAAGGATAGCTCTAAAGTCATCTTTCTTTTCTTCCTTGCCACCCGTTTGAGGAGCATATACTGAAAGGATGTGTAGTATTGATTGACCAATGCAGAGTTTTATCTTCATTAGTCTATCAGAGATCCTGTTGACTTCCACTACTGAGGAGGTTAGATCTTGACTGAGGATGATAACCGTTCCTATTACTAAGAATTCCATTATATTACAATTTATACCCATCTTTAATCATTAATGTCTTCTGACTTTTCCATTTCGTCTCTTGTATGCACGCTATATCAACTTTTCTCTTGTTCAACATTGATGTCAATTCTCTCGTTTTACCTTTAAGTGTACCATTATTCAAACTTGCTAATCTTGTCTTCTTTGCCCTGCGATATTTTCATTTGTTCCCTTCATTTTGTTTATTGGACAAGTATCTTAGCACCTGGCTGTTCAGGTCTGTCGGTGACCGGGGTGTCATCTATAAGCTCCGAAATTCATTTTAGCATAGGGATTTTACATATCAGTTATCGAAGAAAAACCTGAAAGTTTTTATGCTCCTTACCAGGATTGAACCAGCGTCCTCTGCGTCCTTCTGTTTCCAAGCATACATCATAACCCATTAGGCTACCCCGGCGATAGTATTTTAGATATATAATATATTTAAAATATTTAGTTTAAAAATATACGGCCCTAATATATTTTTAAATAAAATTAAAATAAGGCTCGAGTTGGCCTTAGGGTTAGGCCTGTAAGTGTCTGATTATTATCAAGTAAGTATCCTAATATTGATTCTATTATATTGATAATACATGGCATAAAATTCTTTAATTTTCTAATTTTTTATTAGATAGATTGTCATCGGGGTGGGGGAATGCACAGGGACTTAGCCCCATTCAAATTTCAAACTTTGAAGAACAGAATTGATTAAATAATATTGAAAATGTTTTTTGCAAACTAGTTAAAATTATATTTATGAAATTTTTCAAAAAGAGAGCCACCTCAAGTTGAGAATGACACAATTAAGATAATAGATTTTTCTAGGTATTCATTATTTTTATTTTTATTTAAATTTTTATTATTCATGAGGGAATACCGTGGCTCGTCAGAATTTGATTTTACCAATCATAGAAGAATGGGGAAATTGAATGGCTGGGTATCATGAAACTTTTTAATTCTTAAGGGCAGGGATGCGAACCCGACAAAATTTTAGACCGGGTTCGGTTCGGGTTCGGTTCGGGGTATAAAAAAAAAGTTCGGGTTCGGTTCGGGTTCGGTTCAGGGAAATATTTTTGAACCCGGGTTTGGTTCGGGTTCGGTTCGGGTTCAAGAATTTTTGAGTTGATAAAAAAAATTCTATATTTAAATCATAATAAAAAACTAGACATAAATTTGATATAAAAAATAAATTTTTTATTTTATTTATAGGCCAATATAGTTAAAAATACAAAGCATATAGTCATGTATCAATTTTAAAAATTTTATTTAGACGTATTAGCATAATATCTTCCAAGAGTTGTTCACTCATCCTCGATCTATGTGGTGAAAGAATGAATTTCAAATGTGAAAAAGATCTTTCAACGCTAACCTATGTTAAATGTATTTATATGTGAAAATATGAAAAATTAACTTGGGTTGCAGGAACAGCAAATAAGATTTTAGATAAAATATATAATTCAGGGTGTTCCAGCTTAGCAGACTCCCAAAAATGCAAAATATTTTCCTTCTTATCTAATCTTATATAATCGCTAAATCCAGTAATTATTGTTCCAATACTTTTCTCAGCAATCGTTGGCCCTCTTTTAAATATTTTCTCCTGCCTTTCTTTAAGTTATATCAATTTCTCTAAATCATCTTCTTGTTCAATAACTTCATCGGAACTAATATCATCAGATAAAATTGGCGTTGTTAAGCTTTTAATTCGTCTCCATAAATTGACAAGATGTTTTTTCGCACAAATCTTATCATCATCACTAAGTAATACCTGTAATATTTAAGGATTTATATTGTTTATATTTAAATATTTCATAAAATAACAATTTTAATATAAATCTAAAATAATTAATTTACTAAGCTTTTAATTAACCTTGTATCTTGGGCCCAGGTATATGGCAGCTAAGAGAATTTCGTTCTTTATAAACCTTTCTTCTCTGTTTTTAAGACAAGAATATAGTAATTGAGCAAAATGGTTTGGATTTTTTTCCAGTTCGATGCAGCATCTTAACCATGCTGCATAAAAATCTGTCAGTGTTAACTGTTCAGATTGGAATTGTTTGGTTGCGATTTTTAGCGGTTTTAAAATTTCAACAATCGTTATTATCTCTTTCCAATCTTCAGTCAATAAATAATCAGATTGCTCTGTAAAAAAATCTTCGATATTGGGTTTTAGTAAAATCAGCCTTTCTAACATATCATGGGTTGAATGCCATCTGTGGCAATCTAACACAGGCTTAGGGAGTTTCATATTTTTTAATAACTTTTGGTAGTGGGATGTCTTAATTTTAAATTTAGGCTCCTAGCTTTTGCAATGGTTTCCACAATAGGTGATAATTTTATAGCATCTTGAAGTGCCAGCTGAAGTGTGTGCACACCGTACACTATAAATCGGATAGGATATAATAGTTGATAAAAAAGTATTTTGTATATCATCAATATCATATTTATATACATTTACATCCATATTTTCCTCATCTGCTGATTCACTCCTTATATCATAATCAGTTTCAGGTTGCAGGAGCTTTATAGCTCTTAAAAAATTACAACCATTATCAGAAGTAATTGTGTATATTTGTTGAATATTAATTTTAAATTTTAGTAAAGTTTTTAATATATTCTCTTTTATATATTCTCCTGTACATCTCTCTTTCAGCTCTACAATTCCAAGAGCCTCAAATTTATAATGGACTTTGATATAAATTGAATATTTACACCAAGAATTGACCTATCTAGTCGTTGAACTGCATCAACTTTTAAACTTATTAATTTTCCTTCTACCTCTCTCGATATTTTGTCTCTAATTGATTGGGCTGTTTTATTAATAGTTCTGGATAAATTTTCTTTGTTTATAACTAAATTGAGCCCAGATAGGAGTGGATTTATAATTCTTTGAAATCCCGAATCTTCAATAATTGATAAAGGCCGGCCATTTACAGTAACAAGTTCTAATATAGAACTCATCAAATCATTAGATGATATATTTATACTTATATGCTTTTTTGGAAAAAAGGTTTCTATATTAATTTTAGGTTTTTTTGCCAATAACAATTCCTGATATTTGGTTTTTTCATTTAAATAATTTAAATATTCATTGTTGTGATTTCTTTCCAGGTGTCTTTCTAAATTTGACAAGTGATTACCAGACATTTTTACTTTGCAATATGAACATATTGATTTTTTTTTCTATTTTATTAAGGGTAAAATGCTTATCAAATATGACTTTATCTTTAATCTTAAATCTATAAAAAGAGAACAATTTTTTTAAATAGCAATGATTTCAGAATTAAAAAAGAGATATTTATAAATTTAATTTCATTTATAATATGCACTTCATTAATATCTTGTAAAAATTAAACTGAACCAAAAATAAATGATTAGCATATATAAATTTTAAAATCATTTTAATAAGTTCACAAAAACTGCCCTACATTTAACAATTTTTAAGTTAGATGTTTAGAATTTTTTAAATTAACAATATAATAATTTTTACTTTGATTTGTTAACCATTTTCTTCTAATTAATAATCTTTAAGAATAATAAGATAAAAATTTAAAAATAAATGGCGTAAATTAATTCAATTGTTTAAAATTTTTTAACACTCCAATAGGAATCGAGAATAAATTTAAAAATGGCATAAATGAATTAAATTGTTTAAAATTTATTAAGACTTCATTTAATTGGAAATTTGAAAATATAATATTTGTATTTACATATATTAATATATGATTTTAAATAATACACTGAACCCGATTGAACCCGGGTTCAAATAAAATTCTTGGGTTCGGTTCGGGGTTTTGGAAATTTTATAAATGGGGTTCAGGTTCGGTTCGGGTTCAGAGTTTTTTTCTAAAAACCCGGGTTCACTTCTCCGGGTTCGGGTTCGGTTCGAATCCCTGCTTAAGGGGTTTAAAGATGCATATTTCAATATGTTTTTGCCTATCTTATGATCCTATGAAAATTATTTCTTATTCATCCATATTTAAAAGAAAAATAAAGAATTTAAAGCCAAATGCATAACTTTAAGTCAAATCTCGATCCTAACTATAATAATACTAAAATAAATTGATCTTGGATCTATGATATTGAATTATTCTATACATTTTTAATTTCTTTTAAGGATTATATTATTCTATGCCCATCTAAGTAATAAATAGGGTTTATGAATTTGAATGCATTAAAGTTTGAAAAAAAATGCTTTACCATTACTCTTTACTTTAATAATATGACATGGGCTGCCAACCAAGAATCTAAAGACTTTTATTATAAAAATAATTAGAATTAACTTTTTTATTTATTTTATATATATAAAAACACAATTTACAAAAAAATCAATTAAATTTTATTATAAAACAAAAACTTTTTAACAAATTAAATAATATACAAACCTGCTATATATATTCGTCTAATTTACATATAGATATGAAAAAATATTCTATTAACCTTTCTAATATATATATTCAAATTAATTATTTTATAATTATACAACTTCTTTTCTTTCAATACATATTTTCGACAGTTAGAAGAAACGCATTACTCGTTACTAAAAATACTATATATTAAATACAAATTTTCTTTTTATTAACATTCTTTTCCATAGATAATAAAAATGAAATTATACAAAGAAAATAATACTGTAAGATTATATTTTTTTATAATAATTTTTTATTTATTGTTAATGACAATTGGTTCTCAAAATTTTAATCAGATAAACAAGAGCGCTTGGTGCTCAACACAGTCTACGTTTTGCTAGACACATGTTCAACTAGTGCAGGATCTGAGGGTTGTAATATATATAATAAATATAAATTTTGATAGGAGGAATTTATTAAAAATATTTTAAGAACTTTTTTTTCAAAATACTTATTAGATCATCATCACAAGTATCTTCATTCAGATCCTTATCAAATTTTTTAGATCTTTATAACAGAAGTTAAACTGGTATATGCGTTATTTAAAAAAAACCTAATCTAATTTTTGTTTATATATAGGATCTTTTCTCAAGTTTGAATTATTTTAAAGAACACCATCTACACTTATAAAGTCTAAACCTACTTTCTTCTGTCATGTAATATTATTATGCAGAGCCTTGCAAAAGGTGAACTAAGATATGGTTCAAGAATTTATAGCTGAAGATTCATATTAGGCTATTTTACTAATCATAAAAAATGCTAAGCTATTTTAGCAAGATTTTAAAAACGGTTCAAAAAAAGGTAAATTCATACATATCATAATAAACAAACAGAGGTTCATAGGAATAATATTTCCACACAATCAGTTGAGGAGTATTATAGAATTATGATTTTTATATCACTTATGGATAGATTTTTATTCCAAATTAAGGAACATTTATTGAACCATAAACTGTTCATTAATGAACATGTCGTATGAGGTTGAAATGGTAGGGACCGAATTGTAAGTAAATGGTGAATTTAAATATTGGCCTGTGAGCTTTAAAAAGAATGGACATTAAGCATCAGAATGCATTAAGTGCACTCAATGTTTGTAAACACACATTAATAAACTTTCCATACAATACAAAATTTCCAAATGTTAGTATGCCTCCCTATTAAGACATAAACTAATAATGAAAGAATATTCTCAAATTTACGAAGGCTAAAAACATATTTGCGAAATACTATTTCGCAAAATAGTTTAAATGGTTTAACGCTCTTAAATATTCATCAGGAATTAACATCAGTTAATACTGAAATAATTAATGAATTATCAAATTCTAAAAGAAAATTAGATTTAACATTATAAATGATACGTTTTGGTATTAATGTATATATGGATTTTATTTTATACAAACTAATAAAAATAAATCGCTATTAGTTCCAAAGTATATTTTTTGATACCATCTCTTGGTAACTAATTCATACATTTTAAATAATGATAATGAGTTGTTTTCATTAAAATTATATTTCTAGCTATATAAGCTAAAGAAAAGCGGACAAAGACGGTGCAAATCAGGCTTTCGGCCAGCCAAAAGAGGCCGCGGGGGGGAGCGAAGCCACTAGAAATTTATTAATCCCCCTCCCCTTAGGAAAATCCTGGCTACGCTTATGTTATAGTATATTGTTTGGCATGAATATGAGTTTACTGATAGTATGTATAACTCTTTAAAATTGCATATTAGCTGTAAATTATCCAGAAATTTATTTGAAAAATAATGACTATGATTCAATATATAGATTTGATCTTATTATAATAGGTCTGAAATAAAATTTTGAAATAAATTTTTACAGCAAATTATCTTGCCCTAATCATCTTTGATAGCCCCCAGAATGAATAAAAATATAAATATTTCTCTTTCATTTATTACAAATTTAAATTTGAAAAGTGACCTCTATCAAATATAGTGTTGTTAAATGGCTCGATTTTGATTTTAGATTTAAATCTTAGATAAAATAATATTACGCGAGCCTAGAGATGTTAATAGATGTCCAAATCTTTTTACCATCTAAGCAAAATCTCTCGGCTTGCCTAAATTTTTTGGCTAAAATATTGGGATGGTTGATTTCAAAAATCGATCCTCTTAACACATGAATCCAATATTTTGTAATATATGAAATCAATGGTTAGAAAAAAATCAATCTGCTATCCGTAAATTAGAAAAAAAATGACTAAACTTTTTCTTAATTCTAAAAACTTAATTTTTTTAAAAAATCAAATTAATGAGGAAGACCATTGTTATATGAAAATTGGAATTAAAAGAATTAATCAGATGTGGATTAGGAGGCAAAAGGATTTATCTACCATTTTAAAATTTCGCATCAAATCATTTACCTCACTCCAAAATTAAAAAATTTCAAAAAAATTACATCCATTTGAAACTTAAGGAAAATTAGAGCGATGAATTTCATAAATTATATGTCATTGAGTCAAATGCAGAACTCCATGAATTTAATATTTCTCTACAACTAGGCAAGCCCATATTTCCAATATAAATATAGGGTCAGTCTAAAAATACTATAAAATCTTTAAACTTTTTCAACTTAAATTAATGAAAGATTCATGATTAATTAGGCAGTTAAATCTCAAATATTACCGCAAAATCTTCCCTAATATATTTCAAATCTTGATAGAGAAATAAATTAAATATGGTAGGTTTTATTGTGATAATGTAAAGTTTCCCATAATGCATTTAGCTCAATGTAAACTTTGGTATAAAAGATTAAATATGGTTGAATATGTTCAAAATTTTATAGTTTCTTCGCATAATTTCAAACATATTTTAGACTATTCCCCTAAGATATAAGATTTATTACATATTTTTAGAAAATCTATCTATAAGTATATCAATCAATGTAAGACACTTTCATCTTTAACAAGAGTAAAAACACACCTGAGAAGTGTGTCGTTGCTCGATTTGAATTGATTTTTAACGGCTAACTCACTATTATAGCCAAAATAATAATGCTTAAACCTCGAGGTTTTATTAATAGATGTCCAAACCTTTGTGCCATCTATAGGCAAAATTTTCAAGCCTGTGTAATATTTCTGGATAAAAAATTGAGTTAACTATTTTTAAAAATTGACTTAAATCATAAGATTCCACGAAGAAATTATATTATATTCTGTGATATTTAACTTTTTTTAAATAAATATTGAAAAGTATCGGTATCTATGTCTTTTACCGAGAAAATAAAAAAATACAAGGTTCTTTTTTATAATAAAGAATCTTGTATACAAATACTAGTATCTTATTAAAAATGTCAAAATGTTATTTAGCACAAGATACAAAATATCTTACAGAAAACTATATCTGAAAATAAATGGAATGGGTGCTAACCCTTTTTAGTATACATGAATAGTTGACAACAGGCACTACTAAAATCATTGAAAAATTAGCTCAATCCCAAAGAAAATTGAATTTTTTATTATAAATTTATAATATGCATCTTAATTATATTTTTTCCCATTTTTAATATTATTTAAATAAGATGTATCAAATTTTAAATGCCTAAAAAATTAAAATTTCTTTACAAAGTTCTTTTTCGATCCAATTATTTTATAGTGATTCATTCATACACCAAATGCCAATATTTATAGTCACTGTTCCTAATTAATTTCGGAGGCTTAAAAAATTCTTAAATGACTCCTATAATAATTCTAAAAAAATTATTTATTTATCCAGCAAATTTTATTTTTCTAGCATTGATTCACTCATTTTTGGTGTTAAACTTTATTAGGAGGTAAATGAAGACTCATAAATTTATAGGAGTAACGATAGTGTAAGTTGCTATGTCTGCAGTTAGGACATTTTTCCAAAAATTCCAAATGTATTTAAAGGATATGATCATAGGGAAGAGGATGGAAGAAAGGTAGGAGGATGGGAGTGGCTAAGCTTTGATCAAGGAATTCTCAGTCAAAAATACATAACAAATATAATACACTATCAAATTGATGACGATATTAAATAAAAAATAACCATAAATAACTATCAATTTGGATGTAAAAATAATAAAAATATTATTAGATACCAGAGGCATGGTTAGAATCATAAACATGGCTGAATTAAATGACTATGGCATGAGAAAAAAATCTACATA